ATTAAACACGATGACTTGTGGTTACACTGACTTTATCACCATAATCTCAGACAACTGTGGTTACATGAATAATTGTCATAATGACAGGCCTATTTCCATCATGTGTACATAAATTTTTTCTTAACTAAATTTAGCTTACAGTGGTTTTAGGCAAAGGGTGGTGTTGGGCCGGTTAAGCTTTAGCAAGCGTTAGTTCAAAATTGTGTTTGTTTTTAGTTCATTTCTAATTTAGTTCTGAGTTTGTTCATTAATTGATCATATTTCATTTGAAAAAAAAAACATGGTGATCATGACATCTCAGAGTAGGTAGGCCAATTATGTCTGTTTAATTTGCTCCTATTATCTTAGTTTAAACAAACTGTATGAAAGACCAATTCCCATTACTACTGTTCTCATTTACAGGTAATGATTTTGTCGGAATAATGCAAAATGAGTTTGAGGTATGAAAAGTCATTTTTCCTGACCTTGTTATCAGTGGTAGAACTGATAGCAAGGTCAGGAAAAATTGTGATTAATAAAAAAACAGCAAGGAGGGGCAAATTTAGTTTTGATTTTACACATGCTGCTGTGAAAGCAAGGAGGGCTTTGAAGATTAGTCATGAAATGTCTCTGCTAAAATCCAAAGTGTGCTTCTTCTGCTTTAACATTAACATGTAGGTGTGATGTGGAAATGGATGGGTTTCTAGGGCAGTTACACATAACCTACACAGTGTCGCTGACAGATTATTAGTGGAGCAGGTGTTTAAATTAGCTAATCAACCACAGTGATCACTTATTAATAATTGTAGTAAAAACATCAAACCTGAAAACATGATTCTGCAATGGACTGAATGTTCTGTTCTTTGTGTGCAAAATGTTTGCATGTTTTTTTTTATGTTGAATCCTGATACATTAGTGACGTTGTTGTCATTTTGTTGCTATGGCAATGAATCTGTGAGTAGTGTACAGTCAGAAAAAGAAGAAATAGCAGTGATTTTGAGCTTTTCTGCGTCATTTTTCTTTTTGTTGTGGTGCACATAACAAATTAATAATACATACATCTCCACATCTCATTTTGTTAACAAAATTGTTCCACAATGGCAGCACAGCTATGAATGACAAGTAAAAGAATAATCTTTTTGCCCTCCAGGCTTGTCTGCATGCGAAAAATTTCCACATTTAATCAATAACATGCAACTTATCTATGCAAGTTTCTTCCAGGCCAAGTTCAGTTTAGGTACTCACCAATACCGAGTACCGAGTTAACAAGTTGGTTTTTATACTTCATACAATAAAAATCGATTTATTTTATTTAGAACAGGATGGCTCTTCTTCTTTTTAAGCTTACAGACCCTCCCAACTGTTTTAATAAATCATAAATAGATCATGACATACAGATTGTTTAGTCATCAAATGCTTTTATCAAATTACTTGTTAAAAGACACATATTTTGTTAGAGCTCAGCAGCTTCATGTAGGCTGAGCCCGATCAGTATCGGTCTCCACTGCCAAGAACCATTGTTCTGTTACCAGCTGGAGACGCTCAAGCTCCAATCAAACTACTTAAACTAACAGTTTACAGTGTCCTGGGACAGGATACAAACAGTTTAATTAAACTAATTAACAGTTTAATTAAACTAATTAAACTGTTAGTTTAACAAGTCCAGTTGTTAGAACAGCCATAACCAGACTTGTTGTCTAGTTGTGATTGTTCTAAATGAAGGATTTAAAGAACAGCAGGAAGCACAGCTGATCTTAAATATAGGCCATTAGTAGAACATTCTGAAGATCTACAGAATGGAGTGAAAATTAGTGGATTAAATAAAAAGTAAAATGTCTCCTTCCAAATCCTTCAGGTTAATGGCCCCAGATGAAATGAGCTTTCCAGGAACAGCACAGCATTTATGTTTCTGCCTGTTGACAGTTCCGCAGGACTTAAAGGTCACACAGCTCAGCTTTTTGCAATGTGTTCTTGATACCTTGATGCCCCTGCAAGTGTCTGCAGCCTCACTGGAAGCAACCATGCTTGTTTAATAGAAAAACAAAGATGGAGTAGCAGCAGGAGCCTGTGTCTGCTGCTGCTCTGTTGCTGTGACGATTTAGTCGGTGGGCCTGACACACACAACCTGCTGTGAAAGTGTGCATACTTTGAGGAAGGTGAATGGAAACAGGGCACTTGTAGTGATGTTAACTTTGATAGTTGTGCATTTCTGAGCCAGAACTTCTACTGTGGAGAAATACAAACTAAAAACTGTATCTATAACTTACCCTATATCAAGGGAGCTTCATTTCAACATTGTGTCAGTCAAAATATTGATTTATCCATGCATTGTGATTAATTTTTCCAATTCAGTATCAATTTGGAAAAATTTGTTAAATCGGTTAGATTACCTGTCCTGCCTGCTATGGTGAGCAACACTGCTAGCACTGTCACTATATGAACTGGGTGTCTCATATCAGACAGCTGGATGTGAAGTCTTCGTCTTGAGAAGGAGACTTCAAGAGTTATTAGTGGTTGGCAAGCGACTATTGTTGTCACTGTGCCAGGATACCTGACCTCTATTCAAAAGACTATGGTGATAACCGCAGGAACTGCTTTGCATCTGACTGTAAACAAGAGAGAATTATTCTCATCAACCTCAATATCACAGATGGACCTGAGCACAGAGTACATATTAGTGAAGGTTAGCAACAAGAAGTCAGGTCAGAGGTCAGGTAGGCAGTGATAGACTTGGATTGTGAATACTTTCCAGATGGACTTTAAACTAACCATTAAACAAACTATTGCAATAATCTAACCTTGTGAAAACTGCTGTTGATATTTGTGAGACTGCTGGATTTAATCCATAAAATTACACATTTTCACTGCTGCTCTGATCACTTCACATATGCATCCACAGACTGATGAAAATTACCGGTAGTTAATCTTAGCACCACAATGCCTCGCTTCCTGGTGGGGTCTGTGGTTTTTAGTAGAAGTAAGCCTGGTTGAGTTCTGATCTTTCACCTTCTGTTCAGAAAAGCCAAAAGAACAACTTCTCTTTTATCTGCAATAAACTTGAGGAAACTCTGGCCCTTCAGCTTACTGATATTGTGGCCATACTTCCTCAGTGACTGCAGGTAACTATGGTTATTTAGTGACAGAAATATAAACTTCTGTGTCATCAACATAAATATCATGGGAGATGTAGTGACTCTTCCAACCAGGTGTCGCATGTAGTAATGGATATTGATAGTCAATAGCAGTTTGTTCTGAAATGCTGTTTAGGTTTAACTACTTTGGTTAAACATCCAGAAAACATTATTGCAGAAATGTTGTGTCTCACTAGAATGCAGCTGTACTTCGGTTGTCACTACACTAAATTTTGAAACTTGTTACTGTTAAATAATTAATAGCTTCACAATATCATTATCTTATGTTGAAAATTGTGCTGTCTGTCAATGTGCTGCTGATTGAAATCATGTTTACATGGCTTGAGTTAGCATAGTATTATTCAGCATGGAATACTTTGAGCTGCTGGCTTACATAAGACACAAAGGTGTTTTCCTCTTCTGTTGTGCTGAGAAGTACAGATCTGGTTTGATTATGCCTGCTGTGTTCCTAAAGCCTGTGATTCAGCACTTTGCTCCTAATCAGTTCTACCCTGAAGCTGAGTGGCTTCTGCTGCCTACTCAGGGCTAATGGAGGACCAGGAGCAGCTTAGCTGCATCCTGCACCAAGAACAGCTGCTTATTGGGTCACTTACTGTTTTCAGGAATCTCTGGGTTATACTCTAGCTGTATATGCGTGTGCATGTGTGTGTGTGTGTGTGTGTGTGTGTGGGGGGGGGGCTTGAGGGGTGTCTTCTGTTCAGGGGCATTTCTGTTCAGCTTTAAGGGTTTTGGAGCTCAGCAGCTTTGGGATTTGTTTGCTACACTAAATATCAATGTCACTGAATATTACAAAGAGGTAAAACTGAAGCATCAAGAAAGTCCACAGTGATGGTTGTTTTCAGGCTTAATTGCATTAAAGAACTTCGTATATTTATGTATTTTGCCTTCTCATTTTTTCATAAACATTCATAATGTACTGAACTAAATATAATTTCTTTTCATCAACTGGTTCCAGAGGAACTGTTTATAATATTTCCCATATACAGTTAGAATCTACCGTATAGTTTCTAATGTGATACCCAATGTGCCTAATGCACATTAGGTATCTTTAAGAACTGGTTGTTGTCTGTGCAGTTCCATTAATGAAATCTGATTATTTGGAGGATGATTTAATGAAGCACATGGGGCCAATCAGAAAGCAGAGCTGTTTGAGGTAATAAGACGTGTCAGAATGTAAGATTGAGCTGAATGTAGCTGATGCATTTAAATAAAAGTGGATTTTATTCATGCAAATTTGACCATTACTGATGCTTTTTGTGAGGTTTAATTTTGTTTGAGGAGATTGTTAGTCTTCTCTGTTCATTACAACAGTAAGGCTGTAGGAGAACCTACTAGTTAATCCTCCATACAAATAAGCATAAATGAAGGCAATTAAGCCTAGGAGAAGGCATTATGGGATGCTTGGCTCCAATTGGGTGTTGCTAAACTGGGACAACCTACCTGAGTATTGTTAGGGTAATCTCTCCACTGTAGTATTACATTATATTCAAATATAGATGGACAATTCCTGCAGGATAATGCATCATGTCACAAAGCTCAAATAACCCTAAGTTGCTTTGTTGGACATATCAAAATCCACTGTACTGAAACAGCTTCCACCAGATCCCAGTCCTATGGAATCCTGCTAAAAGAAAAAAAAGCATCTTTTTCGTTTTTGAAGGATAGGCTCATGTTCTTCTGAGAGACAGACAGAGATCTTGATCACTTTAGCTCATGAAATTTCTCCCTACAACATATTTGATCAAGGCTGCATTATGACAAAGATCAAAGTCATTATTATGATACATTACTGGACTAAACAAGTCTGCAACACCACACAGAGTTGGATCACCCTGAGTCTTAATTGTGTCCTTCTCTTTGTGACTGCAGTTACTGATGTGGAACTGAAGCGGCTGAAGGATGCCTTCAAGAGAACCAGCGGTCTGTCATGTTACATGACCCAACAGTGTTTCTACAGAGAAGTGCTGGGAGATGGGGTTCCCCCGAAGGTTGCAGAGGTAAGCCACAGTAATGTCACAATTTATGTTATGTAGCTGAAATGAAAAGTTAGTAGAAGTGAGGAGTGGGGTCCAAATAAGTGATGCTTTTGTTTTTTTTGGAGTGGTAAAAACAAACTCTTTCAGGGTTTCCCCCAGAAGGCTTTCTAAGCCTGATGATTGGGACAGTTATCCAGCAGCCCCTTGTGATTTTGTTTTAAAATATGTTAAAAGTTGACTGGAGATGTAAAATATGACTAAGTAAAATTATCTTATTGAAAGATATTGTTGACAATACTTGAACACACAAATATAGAGATTTACAAAAAGGAAATGTGCAGGGGTGCAGACTGAGAGTACCCAGCTCTGTGCCCAGTTCAACTCATCAGCTATAAACCTGCCTTTGCTTTCACTGTTACTACTGTATAAAAAACCCTGTGACATTCAGGTAGGGGGGAAACCCTTTCTGTTTGGAAGATCATAGTAATTTCCCCAACTGTGTGTACTTATTCAAATCTGACGCTATTTTTTATCTTTAGGGTAGCTAAAACATTAAACTCCAGAAATACTTTCTGGCCACTTCAAACCATAAATTGCAACACACTGAACCATGTTGCACTCATATTCACCATTAATACGCTGAATATTGGTAGTCTCTGGCAGCACAATGTTCACAGATTGAGGAGGAGTGTCATGGAAAATGCCAAAAACAGCTCAGTGTCTTTTTTTTTTTTTTTTTTCAATTTTCTGAGTTTAAAATTTTGTATATTTTATTTAACAACCGTATTTTATGATTTTCTTTCATGTTTTGTTAGCTTAAAAACACTGTTCAATTTTGCTTTAAGGTTCTACATGAAGGTTCTTGAAGTGGCTGAAAGTCCTGACTCATATCTGACGGAGAAGGTTAGGGTGATGGCATGAAGGCCTTTCAACCCAAAGGCTTGGAGCTCATAGCAGAAGTTAGTTAGAATGGTCTATGGTACCAGTGGAAACATGTTAAAACCTGATAAACTGTCACACAGCCTTATCATGTCTTCCCTTGAGTCATTATATAAGAGTTTCTCATTCCAAAAACAACAGAACTTTTTATAGATATTTTCAGGGAGCAAATGAGAGAGCTCCTCCTTTTACTGAACACCTGCCATAGATGTAACTGCTGTAGATGTACATCAGGTTGGGTTCAGGTGTGTGACGTGTGTTTGGTGCGGCCTGCTGTGATCCAACCTCCTTCTGTCACACCTGTTTATTATTGTGAACTCTTTTCATAGGGAACCGATCAGAAGCAGGTGCAATCAGAGCTGCATAATGGTGACCTAGTAGTTTTAGATAATAGTAGTACAACACGGTTCCCTTCAGGAGCGTACAGTCAGCTCTCATTCAGCGTCTTCAGTGCGTTTAAGTATGGCTGGTGTTAGTCATCCTCCTCTCACACAGTGTTTCAGTACTTCAACTTTCCCCTCCTCCCCTCCTTCCCTCTTTGTGCTGCTGCTGCCTCTGTGTCACCATGACAGTTGAGTTCAGTGACATCTCTCCAAAAGCAAGGTTTCAGCTGGTGTCTTCAAACATGCCTGCAGATGTTCCATATCTTTACAGTTCTAGGAAAAGAGTGTGATCAGTCAGAAAGTTAGTCCTTAATCAATTGAAGATTTATCCAGAGTTCCCCTTTGAAATATGTGAAGTATCATCAGATCCACAAACTTCACCCCTTTTACACAACTGAAAAAAAGCATTTTGCATAATTGTCTCCTTCATGCAGTGGGGGGCATTGACTTTTATTCTCCTTTGATTGTATGGTAGCTGCAGGTGTTTATATGCTATCTGCCCATATGCAGCGATGAGAAGACAATGCATATGGAAGCATCATCTGTGGGACTGTTGTTCTTGAGGCTGCAAAACTGTGATGTCGAGAACTACTGTAAATGACTATTTTAGTAATCGAGTAATTCAATCAGAGATTTCCCTGTTCTGTAGCAGCTACTTCTACTTTAGCAAGTAAAAAAAATAGATACATAAAAAAAAATCATAAAAGAAGTATGAAATAGTTATTTTATAAAATATATTTAAGAAGTAAAATCTTATTAGACAGTGACATAATTTGTGACGTTGCCATTAAAAAGAAATTGCAGATGTTTGTGAAGGGTAATTAGTGTTATTAGCTGTGTGCCTAGGGGTTTCCATAGATACTGTGGGTATTCTGTGGCGAGTTACGGAAATGAAAGTATTTTCACATGTAGGCGTCACTGACATAACAAGGATAGATCAGACTTTAGATTTTACCTGCAGTCAATACTAACACTTGAACTTTGTTTTCTATTGATCTATTCAATTTACACCATAAACCTAAACTTCCTTGAATGTTATATGTAATAAACCCCTGTTTGACTCGGCATGTTATAATGTAGCATGGTATTGCCTTATACTGTGTCAGTCAGTGTTTGAATGCACAGTCATACAGATGTGATGTCTGCTTGTTGAGTATGAACAGTTAGCATCACGACATGTCATCCTGATACAATGATATAAAAAAATGAGCTTGTCTGTAGTCACTGCTGGTATTTTGGACTTAATATGCTCCAACCCGTACTTTCCATGACGAACAGACGGTTTGTAGAGTTGGTGGGATTCCCCTCTAATCTCATTTTACTATGCATTACAAACTTGAACAAGGTTGTTTCGTCACAGAGGACACAGACTGGTTTCAGTTGTTTCACTGTGAGCTCAGCAGGTTGCTGTGAATTCATGTCAGTGTACGTTATGTACTCAGAATGATTCATTACCTCTACTGCAATTATTCATCTTCTGGGTTCAGAGGGAAAATGTCAGGTAAATCCTTCCTTGCTGGTTGTGACATAACATGAGTCATCACTACATGTGTTTACCATGTAGTCTGTCTATTTAGTACTTTTATATTCAGTAGAACCATCAGAAGGCAGCAGAGGGGAAAAAGTGATGGTGGATTTAAAAGTTAGGAAAGTGTGACACACATTGACTTCCTTTTTTTCAAACCACAAGTTCGGCTCCTACAGTGTGTGACCTACTGACAAGGACATGCTCCAATAGCTCACTGACTGCACAGTCCCCTCCACAAGTACAATCCTCAGTTATCATGCTTTGCAGCGGCTGCACCGTTTGGGATCTCAGTAAGGAAACAGTTTTCTGTGTCACCATGTCCTGTTGTAATACATAGTTAAAATCTTTATGTAAACTGTTTTTAAAGCTGGTGACTGGTAGTATTTCTTCTCCCTGCTTTCATCTTTAAAACATGATTTTGTTTCATGAATTTTATAATGTAAAGCAATTAGTTTATACATTTTCAACAGATAAATAAATCTGCATGAGTGGAGAAATGGTCCATCCGACACCACTCCATGTTTTTTAGCACTTTGAAATGCCTTGTAGCTGAAATGTGCTATACAAATAAAATTTGATTGATTGATTTACATTTCATGAAGAGTAAAGTTGTGCTTAGTATCTTGTTCAGTGGTTTTTATGTTGTTTCCTTTAGTGGTTCTTGGTGCAGCGTTACCACACGTGAGGAGGGATAACAAGCTTTTCAAAGTGATTGGTTGATTTGTGAAAAAGAACTGCAGCTGCTGAAAATGTGACAAATGTTGCCATTTTGGCTCCCAATCAAACCAAATCTATAAATTGTGAAAACATCATTAGTATAATGGTCCAGATGCTTATTACTATGCTTCTTTTTTTTTTTTTTTTTTTTTTTTTTTGCATATCTGTACCTGGAACAAATCCATAGGAAAATAGAAGAGGCCAAAACCCACAACCAGAAAAAGGGAAACATTTAAACAAACTCTGTTAAACTTGCACATTGTTAATAGGCAAAGTGTCTCAGATTTTCATTAAGCTCATCAGGTTTTGTGCTCATCAGTACGAGGGACTTTCTCCATTGTTTCCTGTCTTTGTCCAAATATAAACTACATGTTATTTCTAAGAACAAGTTACTCATTATTACTATGAAAAATAATCAGTTTCAGATCTAGAATTTTGCCACTCATGTTGGAGCTTCTGTTATGTTGGAGCTGATTTGCTCATGTTTTTAGACTTTTGCTTATAATGTGTTTGGTTGAGGCATTGCATGGTTGGGCAGTAATTTATCTGGTGTTGGAGAGTTTTCAACTGGAATGAGTTTTGCACTGTTTTACTTTCAGTTAAGATGTGTAACCGTGGCAACAGTGTTTTGTTTTTACAATTAGGAGCAGCTGATTAGCATCTCAACATCTCAGATAAATCTTGAATTTTGACTCCACATTCCAGAGGAGATGAAAAGGCTTTCTGGATGCAGAGCAGGACATGAAGGAAGAAGTTTACATATTTGAACATGGTTATTCCTTTTTAACTTTTGACTAAATAAAACATTTTTGTGTTATCAGCAGCACTGTTTTCCATGTATTATTTCTGAATATCTTCAGCCTTTGTGTTTCTGTCTGTTTCAGGTGATCTACAGCTCGTTTGGAGGCTCCTCTAAAGGGCTGCACTTTAACAACCTGATAGTGGGGCTAGTGCTGCTGACCAGAGGGCGTGATGAGGAGAAGGCTAAGTGTAAGTACTTTCACTTGAGCTAGGAAGTCTGTATTCATGTTTCATTTTGAAATGTTTGAGAGATTTCTGACCATGTCTCAGATTTTCTTGGGAAACGGTCAATAAAATTCCTTTCCTATCCAACACTTCAGCTGTTCCACTTCTGAAGGTTGCATTCTCCAAAATGCTTTATTATGAAAGCCTAGGCTATAGTAAAGCTGATGATAAAGCCTTACTTTATTTATGTCAAATATAGATCCAACATCTCTCAATACTCAAAACATTCAGACATTTTGCTTTAGCTGGAAGTGCATGTTTCATAAAAAGTTTGCAGATACTGGAGCTGAACTGTGTCCACAGTTATAAAGCAAGTTTTAGTTTTGACCATATCAACATAATTTTTATGCAGGACAATGCTCTATCGAGCTTCACAGTACTCCACAATGTGGCTACCCAGTAAAGGCCTTAAAGATGAAAGAATAATGAAGTGCCCTCTTCCTCACCATTACAACTTGAGTAATAATTGTTCACAGTGTATCTTTGTATAATCAGTTTTCTGCTCATCAGTTCTGCATATTGTGCATCTGTGTACTGTTGCTCAAATAGTTAGCCAGATAAAGTTGCATTGAGAGCTTCAGCAGGATATAGGTTTGGATGAAAACTGAGCAACCACAGAATATTAAATGTTTCCCAATCAGAAATCCTTTTATTGTCATTGTACAAGAAAGAAAACACAGAAAACAAAAATAGCGACTCTCAAAGGCACATCAAATAAATAAATAAAATGATAAAAAATAAATATATCTCAATTCATATAAAAATATAGTAGAAACACCGGAAAACATCTGGCGTATTAATAAAAAAATGATCATGTTTTAGATGAATTACCTGTCCTCAGTACACAGCTTGGATAAAAACAGTTTTTTACTCTGTGTGTTCTTAACTTCATGGCCCTGAAGCCCCTCCCTGAGGGCAGGAGTTTGAAGAGGTGGTGGTCTGGGTGTGAGGGGTCCTTGATGATGCTGCAGGTCCTGTAGATCTCCTCCAGATGTGGAAGAGGCCAGTTAATCAGTGTCCGGGTGGTGTTTATGACCCTCTGGAGCTGCTTCCTTTGTGCCGCAGGAAGTGAGAAAGCTCACTTCCTGTGGCAAGGTACCATGGCTCAACACGGCACCTTGTTGAGCCATAGAACAATGCCAACAGCTCACTTCTCTGGTGGAGTACTGGGTGAGGGACTGGTAAAAACCCTCACAGTGCCCTCAGCTCCCTCCTCCCTGTCACACCATCAGCTCCAGCATCTTTCCAGGAGGTCACTGCCTCCTGCACCTGAACAGTGATGGTCTGGCTGTTGAAGGATGCAGTAGGGGCTCTGCTGGTGACTCAGCCTCAAAATGGGTGAAGAAATGATTGATTCACAGCTAAAAGGAAGAGCCTTATTTATTTTAAACAACTGAATGCTGAAATCCTCTCCCAATTATTTTAACTGATGTTTAATCATAACAATGCAGCATCTCTCAGGACGTCACAGTGTCATTCTAGTTTTTATCATCATCACTGGTTCTTTGAACAAGAGGCCTGCCTTCCTGTGATAAAGATGAATTCTCTGTGACACTGTGCGTGTGTGTGTTTTCAGACCTCTTCAGCCTGTTTGCCAGTGATCTCAGTGGATATGCTGCCAGGGAAGATATCGAGGCAGTTCTGCAGGCCCTTGATGGAGAAGTCCCGTCCTCCCTGAAGAGGTGCTTCGCAGAGGTATGTAAACACAGCACAGACTTCTCCAGTTGTAGTGTCTGAACAGTCAGTTGACGCTTGTTGAGCATTCACACCTGAAATACCACTCAGAAAAATGATGTTTAATACACAAAATGTACGATTTCCATAGTTTACTCTCCTCACACTAATTAGAAATGTAAGGTTATTGGACACTGCTTTGCTGGGAATTCTGTTTTCTGAACGACATACTGTACATCGTTTAACTCCACTATTGTAAATTGTAAAATACTACAAAACTTGTACTTTATCAAGTCTAGAGGACTCCATAGTGCTTCACATTACATTCAGTAATTCACACATTCACAAGCTGACGATGGTAAGCTGCTGGACAGTAGCTACAGCTGCCATAGAGTCGGAATCAATTTGGCAACCCCACCGATTGCAGGATGAACTCCTACCACAATAGCTACCATCATTTGCATGTGACATCACACGCTTCAAAAGCTCCCACTCCGCCATGACAGACGTCAAAACAACCTATGCTTTCCTGTAAAGATTGTCAAAAAATAGTTGGTAGCCTCATATTGCCTTTATTTAGTTGATTTCATTGTGAAATTTGTCATAGGTTGCTGTGCAGTTGACTGCATAAACTGACAAGCGTGCAAATCAGGCTGCTAATTTTTTCATAAATCTTTAATGAGGAAAAAAGATGGAACCCACTGCTGACCCAAAGTTGTCCATTAGTAGAGCTCTGTTCGGTGACCATCTTGGCACCTTTTAAAGAAACTTTGCTCATATTAATGTAAGATATTGTCAAATTCTCCCCAGCTTTGTACCATACTCGGCATGAGGATGACATGCCAAGCAGCCTGCATCAGAATATTAATGTTTCCAATATTGCCCAGGGATAATGTGTCAGGTTATTGTATTTTGAGTGACATGCATCAACACTGCAGACTAATATTTTAAAGTATTGGTCCATGGGCTTGGACTTGGGATAGTTTTGCCCTTGACGCCTAAACCTGGATGAGATGTTTAGACTCTTAGGATGGGGTGGGAAATCAAAATGATGGAAAACAAAGACATGGGGAATGAACCAACATAAAGGTGGAAATATTGAACAGTTACATTTTTTTTGATAATATCATCTAGAATGATAATTTAGGTAATGAGATGCTGCAAGATATCGTTTCACTCTGCATTCTTGTTAAATTTAACATAGTTTGTTTAATGATCTGACAGGCTAGCGTTTTTTCCTGCACTCCCACTAAATAAAAGGGAAAAGAGAAAAAAAAGGCTTGTTGGAATTGATATAGCAGAGGTTGTCCATGTCTGCTAGGAAATCCTCATTTCTTAAAATTACTCTCAGTTGAATTAACATCCCACCGGGAGGCAATAACTCAGCTGACATCGTTTCCTGCAGGGAAATTAAATACACCCCATTACAGCCAGATGACTTGGCTCTTTGGGAACACATAGTAATTGCTCCTTACTGGTGATTTTCTGCAGAGTGACAAGGTCAACTATGAGCGCTTCAGGAACTGGCTGCTGCAGAACAAGGAGGCCTTCACTCTGTCTCGATGGCTTCTCTCTGGAGGAGTGTGTGTCACGCTGACAGATGACAGTGACACGCCCACCTTCTACCAGACCCTCGCTGGCGTCACACACTGTGAGTCCGTTTAAGTCTTCTTGACTATATACTTGCTCTATTTGACATTTCAAAAATAAATTGCAGAGGACCCACACCAAATTATTATGAGGTGATTTTTTGGCTGTATCAAAATTTATATATATTGCAAAACTGCAATGAAAACACTGTTTTTGCATCACACGGATCACATGATCAACTACCAGCACAAACCATGAAGAAGAAGATAGGAAGTAGTTGAAGGATGATGTCGTGGCATGGTTTTTAAATGATTTATTGTGTGAACAAACTTATTCATGTGTGATTTTAATTGTATTTCTTATTTAATGGAAACACAGCAATGGTGAAATTGTGTTTATTCGACATTAGCGGAATATTAACAAAGTTTTACACTCGACGGAAACGTGGTTAGTTACACATTTACATACCCACCATACACAAACATAAAGATTAATCAGGACTCAATCGGATTCCTCATGTCTCTCTTCATGAACATAACAAGAGACGGAGATGAACTCAATGCTGCTATTTCTGATGCAGTGAATCCAAGTTAAAATCTTTGTTATTCCTGTGATGTGTTGCTGTTGGTTCCCCTTCAGCACATCTTCATCCCAGTTCTGTCTCAGTTGTAGAGGTTGTTGGTGTTGTGAATTGATGAAATGCCTCAGTGCTCAGATGAAATCCTTGCTGTAGTTGTATGTACTGCATAGGTCCCTCCAGACTGATAGACACTTCTGGTAAAGACTTACAAAAAGACTTAAAATAAGTACACTTTTTCAGATTGTAAGGGCATAAATTCTCTTATTGCAATGCAAAAGTGCTGCCAACTGTAACATGACAGAAAGTGAAAATAGATGAGGTCTTCTGCAAGGTACTGTACTTGTGTTTAGACATGAGGAGTTTTCTGTCATTATTCCAGGAATTTATGTCTTAAGCTTTTCAAAACTTATTCAGTTTTTCTGAGGTATTGACGACCTTGCATAAAAGCATTTCATGAAATTGATTCTTGAGGTTGCAGGTTAAAGGCCAAGTAAATATAGTGAAGCTTAATTTCACCAATTAGGAGCAGAGCCCTGGAAAGAGCCTATCTTGACCAGGTAACCTGGACTTTGCCTTTAATCTGCCTGCTCCCATCTTATCCTCTTAACTTTGCGTCTCTGCATGTGAGTGTGTGTGTACGTATGTTAGAGTCGGAGAGAGAGTGAGTGACACAAGTGTGGTACATGACTCTTTCCAGAACAAGGTGGTAAAGCTTGACTCATGACTGAGCTTACCAGTTGGAGTCATCTTCTGCAAGCCTACTGTCACGGTATAGTCAAGGTGTTGGGAGTCTCTGCATTCCCAACAGGATGGTCTAGTTTCTGTTTTTTTTTTTTTTTTGCGTTGAGTTAATTTTGCTACATACAGGCAGTGGCAACACCTGTCCAAGGATGTTCTCTGGATAATGGTATGGTATCTCTGCTGCCACTCTGAGAGAGTTGCACCCATAGGTGGGTAATCAGACCTTCAGGGTTTCTTCTTTCTGTTGGAAACCTTTTTTCTGTTGTCAGTTAAATGGCTTTTATGTCTAGAACCATCTCATACGTCGAACTGGAGTCAGTTATGTTTTTGAGATTTATGTGACCTTTTGTTCTTAGATGAGAAGAATCTTACTCTTGCATTCTAAGTTTGACCTTTCTTCAGTTACACAGCTACTGCAGAAGCTTCTTACAATCTGCTTCCTCAGTATATTGTCATAATTGATGGAATTGTTGCTCTGATGCTCAGTGTGTCTTTTGAGTGTTGAGGGTAACACGAGTTCAAATCCTTGGGTCAGTTGCTAATGTGTTATAGATACGTCAGCACCTGCCAACATAGATAGGCTGATTCTGCATAGAGATGCATTGATTGAGTTTTTAGTCAATTTCTAATCTCCATCTTTGTAAAACTTTGATCAGTGGATACAAGTTTTGGAAGAATTTTGAAGAACAAGATTAAAAATATGTTCTCTGACTTTGGTCCCATGAGTTATAATTAATTATTTAATCAAATTAGTTGCAGAGAGAACAGTTAATGTAAATCAGGAACTCATTAGTTTAAACCAAAGACAAAGTGATTTGGAGTTACAGTCTCTGTTCGTGATTAGTGCCATCAGCATGCCTAGTTTTACCAAAACAACTTTCTCCTTGTGTAGATTCCAGAAAATGAGATTTTCCAAAAGCTGCCAACATTTCCGTGTACATCATATTCCACGACAGACGGCGGTAAAGAGTTTTAAATGTCTTATGATGCAAAATTGTCTTTTTGTGCATTTTTGTATGTCCATTTGGGACTCTATTACTTCTAGAGCAGTAAAAATAAACATCCAGACACTTGAGCCATTTAAAAAAACTCCCGATTATTAAGTTAACAATCCCAGGAAAGCCAAACTCCTTACTCTTCATTATTGGAAGACATTCAGCTGGTTTTACAGCTGAATGTACCGTACAAATGCCTCTGCTGCCTAGAACCTGGTTGTGAAATCTCATAATTTGGAAATAACCTGCCAAAAAATAATTGAATGCAAAGAGTAATGAACATTTTGGTATAGCTCATGTTCAGTGCAGTATAAAAAGTCCCATTTAAGTGATGAAATGGAACAATGTTGATGGTACTCCATTGAGCCTTCCTGTCATGTACCAAATTCCTGCCCTCTTTGACCTCTCCATTTGTCATAGAAACTGTTTTTATTTAAAATGCTTTATACATCTCCCTTACATTGAAAATGGCAAGCCTCAGTGACAGCCTCCACACTGAAGAGTGCTATCGTTAGTGATGCTAAAGCAGCGGTAAGGTAAACTGCTAATCTGCATCTTTAAAGTGTGATGTTTTTTTGCAGAACTTCTGAAAATCTGAATATTGTGACAGATTTAATGGTCAGGATTATGCTATACTATGCTGGTGACTGTAAGGACAGGAAGGACAGGGGAAGACATGCAGGGCAACTCCTTTGGAAGGATGAGGAGTTTTATTGATTTGCCATTAGATGTTTCAGAATAACAATCCAAAAGTGATGTTATGATTCCCGTCTTCCAGCCGAAAAAGGCTATCATGTTAGGAAAAACACTGATGTCTTACCTTCCCCCTCACTGACACTGAGGTTTTATACATCCATCCTTTTAGTCCAAACTCTGTAGACCACAGAAGGTCTTTCTGCTTTTTGCTTGTTTTATTATTATCTTCAAGGAGGATCTAATGTTTTGTTTTTGCTGTGGCTGCAGCATTTAACTGAGCTTTGAGACTGGGATGTGTCTTCTCCCTGCCTCAGTCCATAACCCTCAATAATTTATCAGTCTTTCATCCATTTGTCTGTGTTAGCTCAATATAGCTCTCTGAACATTCTACTGTAAATCATTGATTTTGCTCCCCTTAGTTTCTTTCAGTCAACCAGCTGGAACTGCTACAGTAAACAGGAATGCTGAAAGCATTTCCCAGCATGTACTGGCCCAACTGTCCTGATGTTTACCTCCAGGACTCAGAATCGGTACCACAGGCACAGGGAACTGTCTGCTCTCTACTGTCGTGCTTCATTCTGCCATCCTCATTGAAACTTTGACCAGCAGTTAAAAGCTGCAACCTAAAATCAACCTTGTTTTTAACAATCAACCTTGTTTTTAACAAGGTTGATTTTATTGTCAGTTTGTTCTGCCAGGAACTGACTGTAATTTGATTGCATGTCTACATGTATTTTGACACCTGTCATGTATGCCAACAGCTACTGTATCTGTCTAGCTGCTGAATCCTATTTGCTTAATCTAAGGATTAGCATGTTGACAGGGAGAGACTAGTCCATCGAGCCTGGCAGAGCTTCATACAATGCTCTCTTTATCTGAACAGTCAGAGTATTCCCTCTCTGTCTACTTCACTCCCATACAGTTTAATGATTATATCCTTTAAAGCTGCAATAGATAAGTTCTATTAAAAAAAATGTTTTTCATATTCATTTTTAAACCGATATGCTGTGTGGTTGCAACACATGATACTGCTCCCACATGCTGAGTCATACTGTACACCAGGGGTGCTCAATATGTCAATCGTGATTGACTGGTCAATTGCAGGAAGGTTTTGAGTCGGTCTCAGCAGCAGGTGACAAACTAAAGGCCACCAGGACTCTGAGACCAGCACTTCCTCTTCTGACAGGCTTATAAGAATATTCACCAAGATCCTAAACATTTATTATTACTCTTCATTAAAGAGTAATAATAATGAAATCAACAAAACGTGTTAAAATTAATATTCTTAGTAATTATTGTTAAGGTGCATTCCAGATCCATTAATAAATGAAAAGGCGACTCAAAGACAGACTGACTAGCAGAGCAGGAGTTTAAATTAGCTAATCAACCACTGCTGTGTTCATGAGAGGCTTATTAATAATGGATAAATAAAGATCAAGCCTGGAAACCTGATATTGTAACGGACTGAATGTTTTTAATGTAATCTTTGCCCGACTTGTGGGGCGCAGGCAGTTGCCACGGCAACGGGTGTGCTTAACAATGAAAAGAGACGGAGAATAAAAAGGTGCGAGTGGTTCTGAGTTGATCACCTGTTCAGGTTGTTTACCTTTGTTGCCCTTTGCTGTGGTTCATCACAGCCACTGTAGTTTCTGAACTTTCAATGAATGACAAACTTGGACTAATTAACTCGTTCGTTTGCAGTAAACATTTGCAGTCATAACAAACATCAGATGCCATTAGATGTTTGGCAAGCCTCAAACATCTAATGGCATGTTTGAGGCTTATAATTTAATTATATCTGAGATATAATTAAGTTAATTATATCCCAGATTCAGAAGATTTGCCTTTACCTTTGCAGAGCTCTTTGGTTCCTCCTATCAGTCTGTAGTTTCTCATATTGACGTCATCAAACCAAATTTCAGATCTACCATAACTGACTGACAGCTGCTGGTCTCAGGTTTGCAACCAGCTTCTGACTGAGAAACCAGTAACCTCCTGCCAGTGTCAGAATCTCACTGAGGAAGAAACCGCATAAGGTTTTCTATCACTTTATCATTTCTGATATAACTGATGTATATCCGTATAGAAATGAGTCAATAGGGTTTAATTTACAATTTTTATGGCTTTGTGTCATGAGGTAGATCTCATCCTACTGGGGAGAGGAAAAAGTAGATCTTGGTCTGTTGAGACTTCATAGTCAAGTATACAAAATGCCTTGATTTCTCATGAGAAATTCCTTCATTTCACACAATTCTAATGTGGGAAATGACACACATTCCTCTTCATCAGAGTAGTCACCACACAACTGGTGCTGCACAGAGAGCAGCAGTCACGCTATGCCTTTTTGTATAGCGACCTGAGTGTGGACATGATCAGCTTGACGTCACAAACAAAACAATTCAATGTAAATACAGTTTTCTGTCAAGCAGTTTTAAAAATCCAGCTATTGCAGCAATTCTGACAGTTCGGTAGAAAATCAATTAAATAAAAAACTATATTCTCAACCACAACTCAAACGCTCATATGTAATAATCCTGATAGGTGAAGTATGGCTTGATGCCAGTTACTGCAACACAACGTCAGGGAGTGGATTCTGTGGCATAATCAGGGTAGATCAGGGTAGCTTTTGAATGAAAAACAAAACCACACACAAATAGGCTGGTGGTCATAAAGTTACGCTTGATTAGTAAACACAATTTATGTTCCAGTTCCTGTTCTAGCCACTTTTATTGCACCAGCAGGAAAGAAAGTTCCTGTACAGTTTCTTTTAGAGGAAGGATTCTTTGATCGTGTAACATTCATCCCAATTTACTCGTACCAGGACCAGACCAAAAACCCTCAGCCGTTACCTTAAAAAATTAGATTTAAGTATAAAACAAGATTTAATGCTGAAAAGTCATACAAACGAAACAGATACAGAGTGACATTCACCATCTAGCGCTGGGCCCCACTCAGCTCACCTTAGGGTTGACTCCAAGTGAAGCAATGATTGCAGAGCAAAGATTCTGCTCCCTCTCTAAGGTGTTGGTCTGCCTTAATCAGTTTTGATTTTGTGTGACTGTCACCATTTTTATATGTTAAGGTTATGTAAGCATGCAGCAGTGAGTGTGTAGTGCATAAAAGTGACACAGAATCATATATTTATTACACTCCTAAGTTGTAAATGATTGCAGAACCACCTGACTTGTTTGGTCTAACCCAAACCCAAGTACATATAACTGTTTGTGGAATAAAACCTAAGAAGCAGTTGAATTCTAAATTCCTCTTTTGGCAAGAAAAAGTCTCTGAATTCTGGAAATTATTTTCTCATCTCTGGAGCCATCTTAAAGTTCATCCCAGTAGATGAGTTTTGTGGACTCTGTACTTCTCTTGCTTTAAGAAAAGTGCTCAGTGTGCTCAGATATACACAGAACTTTTTACACCGTTTAGTCACCCCTTTTGTGTGTTTTAGGATTTTGGTTCTTGTTTATCACATTGTGAAGAGTGGATATGTCAGCAGGTAAAAGAAAAAGGATTTTCAAGTTTATTTGAAGAGCACATTTCAGCAACAATGCAGGTATTACAGATAAATCACTGTCAGTAACAGTTTGATTTCAAATGTGTTTGACCTTTGTTCCCTTTCTACTGATAATACAGCCTTATTAGATGTTTTTTTTAAAACACTAATAAAATGAGCTCTCTGCTTTTAGAAGCACATATTGTTGCAGGACAAACTGTGTTTTCCTCCACATGGATAAAACTGGAACTGCTTTAGTTTAACTACACTTTTTCTTTTGATGTCAGTAGGAGCATACAAAGCACCATCTAATATATGGTTAAATGTTCACACACAGTTTCTACATTTACCTGTCGTAGGTTTCATTTTGTTAGGCTAAGGCTGAGTATATTGTTTTAAGCTCAATCAGTCACCATTCCTTTGGAAGACATTGAGAAACTCTTTGATGTTTGGAGCTGGAGTTATTATCCACATTGTCCTGAAGTGTACATTTAGAATTGTGATCCTTGATTTGTGTTTGATCTTGTCCTGCAGTGGAGGAGTCGGACATAATAGACTTGGAGAAGCGCTACTGGCTGCTCAAAGCCCAGTCCAGAACTGGCCGCTTTGATTTGGAAACCTTCGTCCTGCTGGTGTCTCCTCCTATCCATTCCTCTCTGAGTGAAGGTAGGTCCTATCTTCTCTGATATAGGTCTCCATGCTATGAAAACATATTTGATAGAAACATGCAATCTTTAAAAAAGATTATAAAGTATTGTTAAGCATGAAAATGGATATGGAAACATCTGCATCTAAGCAGTGGTCTTGGTCTTTGCATCCATCACGCCCAAACCCTCCTCATTCAGCCACCCTAAATCTGTCATCTTGCCCCTGCAGTACATCTATCCCACCAGACAACACCCACCCACTGACATGTCGGTCAAGCCCCACCCACTTACCAACACAATGTACATCACTAACCCTACCCACCCGACTGTCCATCACACAATACCCACCCACCTGCCCTGCTGTCGTCGGTCACACCCATAGACCTCGTCTATATACATACCTGCAGTAAATCCACATTGAGCCTGTCCTATACTTTAAAAACTGGTTTAAGAATTCTGGAAATATGAGTCTGTGTGGAAATTGGAACCAATCTGGGGAATCTTAGAAATCCATGTCAAACATGCAAACACATCAAGCCTGAACTGACACGGGCAGTTTGATAACTTGTACTGTCCTTAATTGGTGTCGAGGTTTGATCCCTGCTTGTTGAACTCTTTGGAATTTTAAATCAAACTTTGTGAAATCATTGGTAAGGTCTTCAGGTTTCAGTGTTTGGAAACCTGAAGACCTTACCAATCAACCAATCGAGTGATTCGATGGTTGATGGAACGTGACATGGACGTGTGGCTTTCTTTCCACAGGAGTCTCTGCTTTTACTTTGGAATCATTTGTGATCTTTGGTTTACAAACTCTGAATCTCAATGAGCTCACATGCAATTAGCCCAGAATGGTCTCTCCAGCCCCTGCTCCTCCTCCTGCACTGTTTGCTCTTTAATACTGCATCCAAACATAATTTCTGTTCTTCATGCTGTGTTTCAGGTCTGTTTCACGCCTTCGATGAAAATCGGGACAATCACATAGACTTCAAAGAGATCTCTTGTGGACTCTCAGCGTGCTGTAGGGGGCCTGTTGCTGAAAGGCAGAAATGTAAGCCATGCTGTGGTTCTAACTGCTTATAGATAAATGAACCCTCCTTGAGGGCTTTCATAATAACAGGCTTCCTGTCATAAGAGGGCTTTCTCCTGTGTCGCTCTATTATGTAGCCTCAAATCAACTTTTTGATCGATTGGATGTAGAAAAAGGTATATTAAGATATTAGCTACATCATAAACTTAATTAGTTTTATTTCCTTCTTCAGTTTGCTTCAAAGTGTTTGATGTGGACCGTGACGGGATTCTGTCTCGAGATGAGCTCCATGAGATGGTTGTTGCCTTGCTGGAGGTGTGGAAGGACAATCGCACAGACACAATCCCTGTGAGTTCACCTGCAGGCTCAGAGAGCATTCATTTCCTGCTATAAACACATGATTCAGTGCAAAACAGCCCAACAACTTTGGCTTAGTAATAAATGTGTTGTAGTCTGGTGCTTCCTGCCTTGAAGTCGTCTGATTTTCTCATTTGTGTTTTTAAGCTCAAAAACACATGAAGTGAGTTTAAGAAGAAAGAACAAAATTAAATCTTTTGTTTCAGTTGAAATGCAGCAGATCAGCGCATTCAGGATTCCCAAATGATCTTGAAACATATGGAAATAAAATGAGAATATGTTGTTACCAAATAGACAAGTTAAGAAAAAAGAGTGTAAAAGCTGATAGACTTTATACTTTATTCTGTTCTGTCATAGAAAAAAATGTAAACATCTGAAAAATGAAGTATAGATTCAAAGTTCAAACATAGCATCTTTTATTTGTGTTGCCTCTTCAGTATATTGTTTTTTAAAAGTGAAGGACACATGTGCACTCATTCAGTCAGGGTTTTGAACTTGACTTGTGATTCTGGTCTAAATCCCAAATAAAATAATTGAAACTTAATTTGACATGTTTAAACATGTCAAAAATGAGATCAGAAAGTGAGCTTTAAGGAATCTATATTGAAGGTAGGACAATCCTGACCTTAGTAAACAAGTGTTACAGATTTTCATTCAATATTAGAAAGTCATATACTTTACCAAACAGTCCCATGCCAACTTCAGCATTTTGTTTTATGATTTGTGGAACATAAAACTATTAAATCCTAACTACTGTTGATGTGGTCAGATAGATTTTTTTTATAACCAAATGTTCACATTTTTAGAAAAGGTGCAGAAAAAAGTCTAGCACTTCAAGTCTTGTGAATGTTTGGAAATGGAAAATATGTGGGAACCCTACACATGAACTGAATGAAAATAATTCCACTTCAGCCTGCAGAATGTTCCCCAACAGATTTGAGAGCTCAGCTTAGTTCTGGTTTCTCTTGTCTCCCACTGACATGTTGATGCTGTTGCAGGAGCTGACCAGCAGCGTCTCAGACATAGTGGAGGAAATTGTGAAGATGCATGACACGACCAAGGTAAGACACCCAGGTGCTCTTCTTCACACGCATTTCCAAAAGCCTAGTTCCCAAGATACTATCTGTTTCAATGTGAAATTAAAGAACACATTTAAATAAGTAGTAAAGCAAACAGACTGATGACAATTTCATAAACTAAACATTAAATTGTCAGATCAAATTTAGGATTTGATACTTCCATTATCCAACACACTTATCCTTGTGGGGATATGAGGGTGCTGGGGTCTATTTACAGCGGCTGACGGGCAAGCGGAGGGATACGCCTCCCCTCAACCAGGACAAGTCGCCTGTATACACACTATAAGCAAATCCTACACAACACCTCAGAACGGTTTTTACAAAAATAAAATCTCACTGTTTAACATCACATATGCTTTCATTTTGCAGACTTAGGTTTCGAGAGATAATGTGAAACAAGAAGGAGGCTAACTCGACTATTGCGTCACGTTGCAGTAATTGGTCCGTAAAGAAGGAAACACAGAAAACGTTAATTTGATTTCGGTAGTCATTTGTGGAAAAGTTGTAATGACTGGCAAAAATTGCAAGTCTATGCAAAATAAGTGCATTTGTATTAATAGCTGCGATCAGAACATTGCGACTTCCTGGAGGGACAAATAAGTGGCATCATACCTGAAATCAGACCAGCACGTCACACACATAGTAACCAGATGGAGTGAAGTCTAAAAAGTTTTGTGAGGTGTTACAGTGAATGCAGACAGTCCATACTGTCTTCAGACAGTATGCATACAGACAGTATGCATATTATGCACAGTACATACTAACTACTATCCACTCTGTAGATAGTAGTAGATCCACTCTGAAGATAGTAGTAGATCCACTCTGTAGATAGTAGTAGATCCACTCTGTAGATAGTGCAAACTATCTATAGACAGTCTGCACTGTCTATAGACATTAGTTTGACGTTAAACAGGAGCTTGTGGGTTTATGCCAGGTTGACGTTAATACTGTCATTAGTGTACTTTACAAAACATAAATTAGTAGCATATGATGAACTTCTTGGGAGAGTCCATACTGTCTGCAGTATTCAGACAGTGCAGTATGCTGACCTGTGTGTCGTTTGGCTCCTCACAGTTGGGTCACTTGACCCTTGAAGACTACCAGATCTGGAGCGTGAAGAGCGCTTTGGCCAACGAGTTCCTGAACCTGCTCTTCCAGGTTGGTACCCCGGCATGCTGCTGTGGCACAATACAGCTGCTGGAACCGCAACAGCATTCATTCATAATCATGTCAATGTGTTTGACTTATCCCAGGTTTGCCACATAGTGCTGGGCCTCAGACCTGCCACTCCTGAAGAGGAAGGGCAGATCATCAGGTAATCCACCTCTTAAGCTGATTTTTCTTTTTCTGTTTCGAGAGGGTATGTGTTTATATCTGATGACAGTTTCTTGTTCTGTGTGTGTGTCTGTCTGTATGCAGGGGGTGGTTAGAGAGGGAGAGCAGACATGGGCTGCAGCAGGGCCAAAGCTGGTTCCTGATCTCCATGCTGTGGTGGCAGCAGTGGAAGGACTATGTTAAATATGTGAGTAAAGTAGAAGAAACAAAGCACCATTGTGCATAAAGTAATAATGTTCATTTCATACAAAGCATTGTCAACATTAAATATTTATTCTGTTAATCAAGGAGTACATTCTCCCCAATATTTAGCTTCATACCAGGTGAAGTCATGTCACTATTATAAAGATAAAACATCTTCCTGCTGTTTGTAAATAACATAACAGAATCACAGCAGTTGGTGAAAATGGTTAATTGTTCCTGAATAATCTTAAAAAGTTGCTTGATTATTATTTTTTTTCACATCCAGATGACCATAAAATGATCTAAAGGGAGGATGGAAAATGGCTCTTTTCAAACTTCATTCCCAATCCTGTTATTTAAACCGAGATACGCTTTATGTTCTCCAAATCGTAAAGGATACTGTCACCATGGTGACACCTTTTTATCACTTCAGAGATCCAGTGACCAGTGTAACCAGCAGTATGTTCTGGAGATGGACTCTGATTTTCAAGCAACAGCAGGAACACATTTTGCCTCTCTCACATTCTGAATGAGCAGACATGATGACATGTTCTGACGTCATCATGTAAGATGACATTCACTGATGCATTCACTGATTAAAAAAAAACCTGTGCTAATTACCTGTCAAAAGCTGATAATCAACCTATTCTGTTTTCATGTTACAACATTATAATTTGTGGCTTCTCTGCATATTTACATAACAAGTAAAAAGCATGCTACATGTAATCCAAAACCATAAACTAGAGTAGATTTAAAATATTCTTTATCGTCCCACAGTGGGAAGTTCAGGTGTAACTGTGCAGGATCGAGGGATGTAGGATCACACAAAAGTAAAAATGTATCCAACTGTATACAAAGCAAAGTTAAGAAAATACTGTACAGTAAGGAGAAAATTATAACATAAAAATATTGTAGAGTTATTAAAAATGGTGTCCACCCATCGAAGGAATGAACTTTTTTTTTTTTTAAAAGGCTTAAAAGTAAAAACAAATTACACTCATCTGGCATTCACACCAAATTTGACTTGCAATTTTAATACATTATTTTTCTCCCTTTCTCTGAGTTATAAATTACAAAAAGATATTTTCAAAAACTTTATTTTTTTTTTTACTTTTTTATTTGTCCTGAGTTTCCCTGAATTCAAAGTCCAGCCAAATACAAGTTGCTTGTAAAACATGATGGAAAGCTCTGAGTCGGCTACAGAAGCCCTAAAAACGTTCTGATTTTCCAAAAATGAAATCTTCATACCCAGAAAATTCAGTTAATAGATGAAAATGATTGATCGCTCATAAAGCATTCATAGTATTTTTCTGTTTTCTCTAAATGGTAATATTTCCTGATGTGCATCATTCGTCAGTCTGTTGATTTTCATGCACTGATTTGAGCATTTTATTGCTGAAAATGTTTGTTAAACATTAGAAAGGCAGAAAATATGATGAAACATCAGCAGTTCTGTTGAGGTGTGGGAAGTGTCAGTATGTCAGACTCCATCTCATCTGAGCCAAACTGTGAGAACCAACACCCTCCCTTTTTTTTTTTAGCTCTTTTTTAACTTTTTATGTTGCCTCTTCAACACAGAAGAGGCTGTGTGTGTTTTTTATTTATCTATAATTTCCTGAGGGAGTCTTCCCAAGGGATCAATAAAGTCAAGTCTAAGTCTCTCTAAGTCTGAATTGTCCCAGTCATTTAGCCAAAGCAAGTTCTTTAGCTGGAGTTGTCATGGAAACCACTGTTAACTTCTAGCCACTTCAAACACTGACAGGACAGTCCCTGCTGTTGTCTTCCTGTTCAGGAGCATAAAGGCATCGTTGTGGAGCAGCCGTCCATTCTGAGCTCACTCAGGCCCCTGACAGCCATGGCCACCGTGGATCCCGTAAACCCTGACAGGCCCGGGGGTCTGGGGACCTTCGGCCCCTTCAGTCCCTCAGAGGAAAAGTCTCCTGATGCTGTGTCCAGTGCCTCAGAAGCAACAGAAACTGGTCAGTCTTCTTGAAACAGTCCTCAGTAGATAAGAGTCCATTACTGATTTTTCTGTTTGTTAATTCATGTGAAAACAAGTAAGTGAGAGTTTTTAAATTTAGTTCAATCCCGTGAATTTACATACCTCCACATCTGAATAATCATATTATGTTGCTGAGGGAGATAAACATGTCAATTCTTACATGTCAGTTACTCTCAATCCAGACCAGCATGTCTTAGATTTGTTGTACAGCAATAGAAGTCCAGCCTCCATATGAATAACTACAATAACTGCTTAAGGTAATTATTAATAAAACTAGTCATTTGGATCACAGTTACCAATTTGCAACCCCACCCGATCTTTAAAACGGAATATGTTTTGATCATCAAGGAAATAAGACAAATAGTTCAGCGTCAATTGGTGTCTACCTGATGCAGCTCAGATTTTAAAATGATAACAGAAGAAGGTGCAAAAAGCACTGATGCTGTCTGAGCAGCAAGATGTTACACATACATAGAATGAATACAGATAACTACAACTAGCTTACTATCATTAAGCTAATGATAAAATGACAAAAGAATTTAAATGTTTAAAGATAAAATATTTAAATGTTAAAATAGATAAAAATAGATCCAGATGAATTGTGAATATTGAGAAAGTAACTTTATGTCATGAGGAGTGTGTTAGTTGGTTTGAGCTAATTCAGATTCACTATGACCTCTGTACTCTTCACACAGCACCACAAGACAGTGGAATGAATAAAACATGAAATAACATATCGAACAATCTCTAGTCACAGAACAGTATATTCAAAATATACTGTGCAGACTGTGTTGTGGTTGATTAAATAACATAAAAAATTTTGAATAGTTCAATTTTCATATTGGTTGTAATATATGAAATCACCATTGAAGACCAGTTTTGTTTGATGCTGTTATTTGATGATCTGGGTATAAAAACCATTTTTCAGTCAATAGGTTCACATAGTCTGACAGAAAAGGGTTTCGCTGAATTACTTCAATTTAAACTGATGGTGCTGCAGATTTCAACTCAGGTCAGAAATCTTGGTTTAGTCATGAAACATATGAAGGCTTCAGCTACCAGATTGAACAAGTTTCCATCCATAAGACGTCCTGGTGAAAAAGCATATGAAATTATTAGAGACTTAATTCCTCATAGTATGATGTTACTGCATTTATTTAGGCCTCCTCTGTCATTTGACAGTTTTGCTATTTTCTGACTGTTTGCTGTGGATGTTGATTTCCTCTTCCCAACAGCACTGAGTCCTCAGCTGGCTCCCTCTGCAGCAGAGAGCTGCTTCGCCCGTCAGCACAACATTTCAGAAAACAACAATCAGTGTTTTTCTGGAGCCAATGGCCACCTGCCCTCCCAGCTGACAGCACAGAGGCCTGGAGCCATCGACAACCAGTCTCTGGTCACCACCGACCCCATAAAGGCAAGGAGGGCTTTTCCTACGTCCTGTACCCACTCATCCTGTTGACCGGTGGAATTCATTGGAACTGTTCTCCTGCTCTGTGGATTTTTCAGAATAGTTCTTAAAGGGTCATCCATATAAAGTCCCAATCCAAAAAAATTTAAAGCATTAATTCTTTATTCAAAAAAATCTTCCAACCTGTATCAGTTGAAGGAGTAGTCCACCCCTCTAAGCAGAATGGGTATATATTAATATTGCAGTTATTGCCGATGAGCAATATTATATATTTTTTACCATTGTTGCGACCAATTAGATACAAACGGCAATCGGATGAAAGTAAAAGTAAATATTGGTTGTTAATATGGGCCCAGTTTTATTTATCAGATCGACACCAATATGTTAAAAAAATGACCAACATCAATACTGATGTTAGTGCTGATATATCGTATAACCATAGAATGTGTTCATGGGTTTTGGGTCGTCAGAGTCGCGTAGCAGGACTTCCTTTCACACACAGCATTTTGCAGAAATATTTATAACTCTTACATTTTTCTACATTTGATCATTTTACAGACGTATGCTTCTCCAATAAACACAAATTGTCCACATTAAAAATCCGCCACTGTCCATCCTGCTCTGCTGTGTTTAGGAAATTAGACAGAACCAAGTTGTTTTGTTCAGGGTATTTTCTTTCATCTGCTTGTTAGTGGATATGTTTGACATCTGAGAATAGAAGCCACTCTGCTTTAGCGTGAACTCCAGAATGATGAAGTCCCCCTGCTTTACACTGAACTGCAGTCATACAGGCTGTAGAATGAGAATGGCTTCACTTTGGTGAGTAAATAGGAAAGAAACTGTTAAATACTGGTTCCACTTTGCATCATGATATTAGTTTAGTAGCAGAGGTTCTCACTTCAAACCCACTTCTTTCTTTATTTATTTTTTTGTGGTCTGGAACCAGATAGTGTTTCCATTTAGTTTTTATCTAAGTGGTTTACTATAATAATAGAAGGCTGCCAGCTTTTCCACAGCATTAGGATTTTGTCTCTGGATGTTATGTGTAATTCAAAGCGACAGAACAGCGTCTTTTCTGGGCTTTTTCCCTCCCTGCTTACGTATCTGCTGTGCTCTATCCCCGAAGGCCCCTACGTTAACTATGGAGGGTGGCAGACTGAAGCGCTCTTTGCAGCTGGTGCCTGGTAGAGACTTTGAGATGGTGCCAGAGCCTGTGTGGCGGGCCCTCTACCACTGGTACGGTGCCAACCTGAGCCTGCCACGACCGGTGAGTGAACGGAGCAGGGTGAGGCAAAGGAGAATAATGGCCCTTCAAGCTGGATAGCTGGAAAAACAGAGCGTGGCACTGAACTTATGACTGTAGTCCAGATTCACTTCCAACAAAACCCAACAAATTAAAACAAAATAGTTTTGTGAAACTAAAACAAGTAAAAAAACATTTTCACATGTGGCGAAAATATACATAAGACATAAACATGTTTCTATCCCTTTTCTTTGCTGAAATTTTTTTTAAAAATCTGAATTTCATTATTAAGATATTTCTTTTCTTTCCATATCATTATTCCTTTTGATCAACAAGTACATGTAATGTTATCTTAATGTACATCTTTAACCTGTCAGACCTTTTCTCTGTGCTGGACTGTAGACATGTTGAATTTGATGAAGCTGATTTATAGGAAGCTAGTCTCCTTAGAATAAATGCTCTACAAAACCAAAATGTCTCAGCATGTTCCTTTATGGAACACCCAGGAACCCAGGAACAGCAGCTTCATTTCTAGCTAACATAACTTTCTGCTTCACTCCTGCAGGTTATCCTGGAAAGCAAGACTGGTCAAGCAGAGCTGGAGCTGTTCCCCCGCTACCTCCTGTTCCTCCGCCAGCAGCCCGCCACACGCTCCCCTCAGTCCAACATCTGGGTCAATATGGGTATGACCAGCCTGCGAATGTTCCCTCCGTATTTGCCACCACCAAGAGGTAACGTAAGCCTGCAGCAAGACCAGAGCAAGCCGTCGATAAATGTTTCCCTGAGCAATCCCACATCTCCCACGGTTAATTTCTCCTGTGTGGACTGATCCAAGCTGGGCAGAACTCTGGATGAACCCGTGGCCCAGCAAAGACTAATCATTAGGAAAGTTTAATAATTGACTTTTCCAATCTTCACAGCTTTGCAGAGATGGCATAATAGTGTGAGAAAGAAATCTGGGAGCGGTTTAGCAACTAATTAAACTATGACTACAGACTGCTGTTTCAAAGTATAATACAGTGCCTTGCAAATGTTTTCATATTCAATGTTTTGTCACTTTACAACCTCAAACCACAATGTTTTATTTGGAAGTTGATGTAATAAAGCAACACAAATTGTGTAAAAACATAAATTGGAAGAAAAAGAATACCTTGGTTTCAGCTGGTTTATTTTTTTATGGATGACTAAATCATGATGGGCCTTTTATTAAGTTAATAGTTTGTAGAACCACCTTTTGCTGCAGCTCACAGTTTTACCTGCTCATCTTGGCAAAGTGGCCCCTCAGCCGGATTATATTGGTTGCACGGGATTTTATTTAGTGGTATCGGAGTACAAAAGAAAACAATCTACCCTTTTCTTCCAGTTTATGATTATGTTATACTTTGTGTTGGTTTATTACATAAATCTGATGTTAAATACACTAAAATGTGCTGTTGCAACTTGAGAAAACAAGAAAGGTTTAGGGGTATGAATACTTTTGCGAAGGATTGGATTTCAAGCCATGATGATGATCTCTACAACATCAATAATCACTGTTTTGTAACAAAATGTAACTTTTCCTGCTGTCCTCCCTTTTAGCAGTGACAGAAGAGGTAGAAATACTCGACTTCTGCTATCTGTATTTAAAATCCTCCTCAGTTTATTCCTAGTCTGCATTGTCAGCGTTCTGCCTAAAAATCTTAGCCTCTTCCTCTTGTTTTACAACATTTGTTGCATAAACTGAGGTCAAAAGGAAAGTGAGGCAGTGTCCTCACCTTTCCGTGTCATTTCTCTGCTGATGAACATCAGAGCTTTCCTGGACTTCTAGAAAGTCATTTCAAGCCTAATCAGGTTTGGATGCTCAGGCTGACATCAGCGCTGCGTGTGTGAGCGCGCTCCTCCAAATCATGTGATCAAATTCTGTTTGGAGTTTGAGTCCTGCTGTGGTTCCGACCTGGGCCTGAGAGCCTGATCCGGCCCTAATGGCCCCTCTTGGGATGCAGGAGGAACATATACAGGCTGCTATTTATTGTGCCATGGTGGGAAAGCAAAGCTGTGTGGGTGGGAATCAAACTAGAAAATCTCTTCATATTTGTTCATTCGCCACCAGTTGAATAATAAGACTAATAATGATCTATCTGTGTTTGAGTTGTGAATCCACCAGGTTAGTTTACTGATTATTTGACCAATCATGCCTGCTCTGATTGATTTTTCTTGCTGCTTTCTTACAACTAATCCTCAATCAGCTGATGGCTTCTGTTGGTTGCATCTGTGAGCTTGTATGCTGGATGGAAGCTCTGGTCCTGGTCTGGTCTGATCATCAGGATTTGTCTGGTGTTTGGGTCCAAATAGTGGTTTGTATCATGCAGGAAATGTGCCGTCTCCTAACGCTCCTCTGAAGAGGATGCTGGCGTACACAGGCTGCTTCAGCCGCATGGCCACCATCAAGGACATCCACCTGTACCTGTCACAGCGGCTCCGCATCAAGGAGGAGGACATGAGACTCTGGCTCTACAACAGTGAGGTGAGCAGAAATCACTCAAAAACCTCATGTTCTGTGTTCAGAGATCAGCCTGAGATTATTTCAAAGTTCAATGCCAAAGGCAAATATAATGAGATGTTGTGCTGGAGTCTATACCATTTTAAATTACTTTTCTTTATTAACTCTGTAATGTTACTGTTATTGTGCTATGATAAGTAAATTTAAAGAAATTCAAGATCTTAACAACCTGCTCTGATGCTTCATGTCCCTGTGAGTGAAGAGGAGACTTTTAGTTTCCACAGCATGACTACTGTTTTTTATGATTCATCTTTCTGAAAAATAACAGAAAGTGTTGGAGCTTTTTTTCCAGCCAGCTGACTGGCAGTGAGTAGCAACAAGGCAGAAATAGGTTGGGCTTAATGTTCTTAGTGGATGATATCCAGGGAGATCTGCAATCACCACTTTCTCTGATAGCTGATGATGAGCGAGCTTTAACACCTCACCCACCCCAGCTGCATCTCACTGCCTGCCTCTATCTGGTGCCCATGAAAGTGCATTAATAGTCAGTTCAGGAGTTTTTGAAGAAGCCTTTGAAATTGTATTGATTTGTTGTGACCTCTTATGATCAAAACATTAAATAATGAAAGCCTCTGTAAAGTGGCATCATGAACATCTGAACAGTCTGGCTGTTCCCCCCATGCATCTGTAAAGATGCAGCATGCTTAACTAGGATGGAGGTCATTGTTCAGTACGTTTGAATAAAACCAGTGTTTGTCCTCCAGAACTACCTGACCCTGCTTGATGATGAAGACCACACTCTGGAGAGTCTGAAGATCCAGGATGAGCAGCAGCTAGTTATTGAGGGTATGAGAAACTCTCCCCAATGTTCCTCTTGTTGCTTCTTAGTCACTAAACTGCAGCTGCTACATACTGAGAACTTGATGTTGGATGATGAGAAGACTTGCCATCTCTGTTTGTTCATCCTCAGTCAGGAACAAAGACATGAGCTGGCCTGAGGAAATGTCCTTCATCGCCAACAGCAGCAAAATGGACAGACACAAAGGTACGCTGGGGTTCCCTGTGTTCTCCCACTTCACATTCCCTGCTGCTGGGCTCAGTGGAAGACTTAAGAACCAATGTTTTATTCTTCATGGGCAGCTCACTCAGGATGATATCAGGTACCATGAAGAACCTGAACATCTGACTCAGTGAGCTTAACTCTGATGGCCCAAACCATCAACTGAGACATTTAGTTGATGGTTTTGTTTCAGAGATGTCAATCCATCAGTGAGTGGAAAACACTCACTGATGCTCTCATTATTAGATTTTGTTAAAAGAGAAGAGAGGATAGATCATGAAGAACCGGATAGAAACTACACCCATGTGACCCTTCCTCCTCTTCCTCTTCCTCCTTTATCATCGCCTTATTGCTCCAGCTGTGGTCTCTCATGCTCCCAGTCCTGTAGCAGAAATCATTTTTAGTATCTAAAACTCTTTAACCATCAGACATCCTCTAGCAGCTCCAGCAGGAGTTCCTCTGTGACTTTTAGTTTTTTCTCCACATCATCTTGTGGTTTCTTACGCAGCAGCAGGCCTGTGTTGCATCACCTCTGATGTCCTGCTGTTTGATGTGCAGCAGTTCTCTTTGTCCTGCACATTTCATAAACTCAAAAACATGAATGTTATTGTAACGCTGCTCTCTTTGATTTATTGTTTTCAGCAGCTATATGGATTATTCTGCCTGTGGCACACAAAATAAGAACAATAATGTTAACAAAACTTTGAGGATAATTTTACTTGTTTACGAGAAAAGAAATGACAATATTTTCTGATGTAAACTGTAAAAAGATTGCAAGAAAAAATGCACATTTTTCAATGACTAAAGGGATACATTTCTCATATTAAGATTAAGATATTCTATGACATTATAAGTCAGACTCCCCGCTCAAATTATAAAATCAGACATTTGCCACAGAACATGCCAGAAGTCTTCTCAAATCAAAGTGATAAGTTTACAAGATGCACATATGGATCTTTCCGAAGTGTAAACAGAAGATTCTTGAGCTCTGAAGTTTGACACCTGTGGTTTAAAGGCTAAAAAGTGCAGCTTAACTGAGTGGCAAAGTTCCTCTCTGGTTGATGTATGTTTAGAACAGGTTTTTGCATTAAGCTTTAAAAATAGTAATTGTAAATTTAATTCTGTAAATTGAACCTTGATTGATTTCTTGTCTTGTTTTCCACTGCCTAGTTCCTACTGAGAAAGGAGCAACTGGTCTCAGTAACCTTGGCAACACGTGTTTTATGAACTCCAGCATTCAGTGTGTGAGCAACACCAAGCCTCTGTCGGACTACTTTCTGTCGGGGAGACATCTGTATGAACTCAACAGGTGCTGAGTGGTCTGCATGACATCGGTGCGCTCCAGAGTGTTTCTGTCCTGCTCATCCTTTCATCCGTTTCTCTTCAGGATCAATCCCATCGGGATGAGGGGTCACATGGCCAAGTGTTATGGAGACTTGGTGCTGGAGCTGTGGAGTGGGACCCAGAAGAGTATTGCTCCTCTCAAACTCAGGGTGAAGCTTCCATCCAGTCTGTCCTGCAAACCCAAAGGGTTCAGGATGCTCCACATTTCTGTCGATGCGTCCAAGCTTTAAAAGAATGAAACGAACCGAACTATTTTCTCCCTAGTGGACGATAGCAAAGTATGCCCCTCGCTTCAACGGCTTCCAGCAGCAGGACTCCCAGGAGCTGCTGGCGTTCCTCCTGGATGGCCTCCATGAAGACCTGAACCGGGTCCATGAGAAGCCATATGTGGAGCTGAAGGACAGCGATGGGCGGCCAGACTGGGAGGTGGCTTCTGAGGTCAGAGCGCTGCTGATTGGCTCTCCTGTCTTCCTCCCTGCTACCATAATACACACACACACATGCATGTTCGTGCACAGTTACTAAATAAACATATGTTTCCGACAATATTGGATAAGTCATCACAAAAACATTCATCCATATGCCCAATTTTTAATACTAATCTGGAAAGGTACAATCATTTCTCAGTGCAGCTGGATTCCCTGTATTATCTGGAAGAGGAAAGTGACAGCCACCAGGAGGCAGCAGAGTGTTTGTCAATCAACTCTGGTTCTACTTTATGGGATTTTTGTTACATTTGTTTCACTCTGAGAGTGAAGCACTGGATCTCACATTAGAGCCAGCTTTCAAAGCAGATTTAAAAGTTATTTTCTTTTTGTTGTTGTTTCTAGTTATGATGGATAAAGATAGTAGCAGAGTCCACCTCACTGCAGATGTTTTGATACTTCTCTTAGATTCAGTTTCAATCCTAATCCATAAAAATTTCCCATCTACAATATCTAATCTCTTCAAACGGATCAGAAAATTCCTTTCCGAACCAGGGGAGGCCCACTGCTTTCCTCTTTTCTGACCGACCCGTATCCAAGTCACAGCCTCTAGTTCTCATCATGGCTCTCATCATGGCTCATGATGTACTGCATTGCTTAAGGACCTGCTGCTGTTCTAACGGTGGTGCTGTTGTCCTCGGTGTGTGTTTACATTCATCTCTGCAGGCCTGGGAGAACCACCTTCGCAGGAACCGCTCCATCGTGGTGGATCTGTTCCACGGTCAGCTCAAGTCCCAGGTCAAGTGTAAAACCTGTGGCCACATCAGCGCTCGCTTCGACCCCTTCAACTTCCTGTCCCTTCCTCTGCCCATGGACAGCTCCATGCACCTGGAGATCACTGGTTAGTACACCAGTGAGAACAAACATGGTGTGTCGGGAAAAGATCAAGGATAAAGTGCAGTGTTGTCTGTGCAGTTATTAAACTGGACGGCTCCACGCCGGTGCGGTACGGACTGAGGCTGAACATGGATGAGAAATACACGGGGCTGAAGAAGTTGCTGAGTGAGCTGTGCATCCTGAAGCCGGAGCAGATCCTCCTGGCTGAGGTCCATGCTTCCAACATCAAGGTAGTCCCATGGTGCTGGTGATTCTAACACAGCTTGTACTCTCTGGAGTTCTGCGGGCTAACATGTAAGCTGTCCATGTTCAGAACTTCCCTCAGGACAACCAGAAGGTGCGTCTCTCTGTCAATGGCTTCCTCTGTGCGTTTGAGGTCCCGGTGCCGGGTTCGCCAACATCTCTGAGCTCACCCCCACTCACAGGTTATTCTCCTTATTGGAGGTCTGCATGGTCCTCTACTACTGTCTCTGCATTTTCTATTTTCATCATCTTTTGCCTTTTTCGACCAGACATCTCTCCAACAACCAAAGGCTCAGCTGCTACCAGGCACCTAATCGCTAACGGTGGGCCTGGCACACTGATACCCAGCAGCCCAGAGACGCCTCTGGTCAATGGGGTTGCCAACGGACATATGAGCCCCATGCAGGACAGCCCTTTCATTGGATACATCATCGCCATGCACAGAAAGATGGTAAGAATAGGCCAAAAATTGTCCCATTATCTTTTTCCTGATTGCAGAAAAAAGATAATGTTGTGGTTTTGAGTCCATTTTCAGGTAATATATTGACAATTACCTGAATTATCAATATATTTGCGTAATCACACAAGTTCTCCCTCTCAAATATGAATAAAGTTTAATTTGTAAAGAACACTTAATACTGGGACCAAAAGACATTTTAAATATCCAAAATAAGACCACAACCAAAAATTATGAAAACGAAAATAAGCACCACACAGAACTGAAACCATAAATAAAATGAGTTATGATGTCTATGTAAACAAAATTGACCTATAAAAATATTGGTCATCACAATGAAACGATCAAGCTCATTTTAATGTATTATGCAATTAACTTGCTGATTAATTTTGTATTGCGACAATGTTAGATGAGAATTCACTAAGCATGTGTTGCTAAGTGACATTTGAAAATGGCCGATGTGTCAATGCTGGTTACACGTCCATGTTTGTTTCCCCTTTTCAGATGCGGACAGAGTTGTACTTCCTGTCATCTCAGAAGAACCGGCCCAGCCTGTTTGGGATGCCGCTCATCGTCCCCTGCACTGTCCACACCAGTAAGAAGGACCTGTATGACGCAGTCTGGATCCAAGTGTCCCGACTGGCCAGCCCACTGCCCCCCCAGGAGGCCAGCAACCATGCTCAGGACTGGTAATTCTCACAAACATCTTCGTCTTGTTAGTTGATGAACATGATGAATATGGTTGACCGTAAAACGTAGCAATTGATCAGAAGTCTTTTTCTCTTCTTATATTCATACATTAAAAAGTTATTCCGACTCATAATAAATCACATTATTGTTCGTGTCGGTTGAAATCCATAGAAAAACTAATATGAACAGTAAATGTTCTTCAGCACTGAGTTTTAATTTTATATTTGAAAGTGGAGAAAAAAATAAATTTTGTTCTTCTTTTTAAAAATATGTTTGCTTTTTTCACATAGTTGTTAAATCTGTTACTACATAATGACTGAATGGTATGAGACACAATCTTTTAAAATATTGAGCTCCTTCACCTCCTCCCAGTGGTCTGATTGCCATCTGCAGAAATGCACCCAGATAGAAACAACCAATCAGAGCCAGGAGGAGGTTGCACCACTGACAGCCGGGTCTAGTTGGGTGATTGTGATTGTTTGGAGGCTGAAGGTCTGTCAAGAGCAGGGCTGTCTGCTGTTGAATGCCTGACAAGCTTCTGTTCATCACAAATGCATCATATCGTTGATCTTTCCTTTTCCTGACCTGCAGTGATGACAGCATGGGGTACCAGTACCCCTTCACTCTGCGGGTGGTGGGGAAGGACGGCAACTCGTGTGCTTGGTGTCCCTGGTACAGGTAGGATCCACTCACAACTTAAGAAGAAACACATCAGATTCATGCTCTCACATCACATAAAATTTATAAGAAAATTGTTTAATGCAACATTCAAGTTAATGAAATATTCCATTTGTTTTGTTCCAGGTTCTGTCGAGGCTGCACCATAGAGTGTACAGAGGACAGAGCATCTGTAGGGAATGCTTATATAGCTGTGGACTGGGATCCCACCGCTCTGCACCTTCGCTACCAGACCTCCCAGGAGAGGGTAACATACATACCACAGCCTCAGACTGAGAGCAGCACACAACAAACACACCACTGTGGGGAGGAATGTCTACATTAGCCGAACGAAAAAAAGAAATCTTTGAGATTTGCAGTGCTATTTGCCTCTCTACACATTCCTTCTATCTTTGCTTTGTGACAGTAACCAAATTTCTAAAATTGGATAAAGATAATCTGAGAAAATACTAAGACTAGTTATCAAATGATGATTTTGTTCATTAAGGGAAAATAAAACTATCCAAATCAGCTGGAATTTTTTGGAAAAAGTTATTTACCTCCATACTTGAGTTATGGAGGTAAATAACTCCATACCTCAGGTATGGAGTTGACAACTCCTGATGTCAACGGTCGCATCAGGAGTTTGCACTAACAGGTGGTGAGTCTTTACATCACCACTGAGAAATCCTGACACTCTGCTTCACTTTTCTTTTTTTCAATTCATCAGCATTTGAGAGTTTGAGTACGAAATGTATTTTACGATCTGTCTTAACCATTGGCTACACTCTGCCTTTTAACTATGAAACATTAATATGATTGAACTGTGCACGTGTCTTGAGCCACTCCCCTATTGTTATAATCAAAATGATTATTAGAAATAAATTACTATAAATACCAAGAATGTTTTTGAATCATTCAAATTGAAAAGTAAGAACAGCAAATTCACAAAATCCTACCAAATATTTTTTTGCCTAGTTTCTAGTGCACATATTAATACACTTAAAATAAGACAAACCCAACTTACAGTAACTTTTCAGTAAGCTTTAAGAGCTTGTTTTAAGTCAATAACTCATTAATAAAGATATTTTTCTTTTAAATACCAGTTTTACTGGCAGATTTTTTTCACATGTAGGCAAAATGTCTTGTTTAAGTGACAAGTTGGCGAAATGTCTCACAAATTCAGTAAAGTGACTGAATATAATCAAAATAATGTGTTTGTAAGTGAAGGCGGGCAGAGCAGAGCAGAGCAGAGCAGCAACCGTCTCTGTGTCTCCCTGCAGATTGTGGAGGAGCACTGCAGTGTGGAGCAGTCTCGACGAGCCCAGGCTGAGCCCATCAGCTTGGACAGCTGTCTGAAGGCATTCACCAGCGAAGAGGAGCTGGGGGAGGATGAGCTCTACTACTGCTCAAAGTGCAAGACCCACCGGCTGGCCACTAAGAAGTTGGACTTGTGGAGGCTCCCTCCCATCCTGGTCTGTAAACCATGAACCCCGGAGCTGGCTTCCTCATGGGCTTACAATGATGACTGTATGTGAGATGTTTAAATCTCTGCCACGTGTATTTTCTCCAGATTGTCCACCTGAAGCGCTTCCAATTTGTCAACGGTCGCTGGATAAAGTCTCAGAAGATTGTTAAATTCCCTCGAGAGAGTTTTGACCCCAGCGCCTTCCTGGCTCCCAGAGATCTGGAGCATCGCTCTCTGCACTCACGCAGCGAGAGTGAGGACCTCCTGAGGGTCAGGGAAGACAACCTGTCCTCCATCTCTGCTCCGGCTGGCTTCTGCAACCTGCCCAAAGGTACTTCCACTGACTTCCTGCTTGATGAGCCACTAAGATAATAGCACCAAGCTTGATGTTAGTTCACTGCTGTTACACAGTAAAGCATAAGGAAATTTGTCAACATTTGTTCACAAGTTTCTGATTCCTCAGAAAATGGGTGACCAGCAGAGGGAGCTCTAGTGCTCATATGGCTTTGAGAGCAACATGAGTGAAATCAGGAGGATTAGAAATTTCCCAAATATAACTGAGCAGTTACAAGGTTAAATTAAAGGGATAGTACCCACTTTTTGAAGTGAGGTTTTGTTCAGAGGCTGTCTTAAAACTACCACAATCTAAAACAATTTCCTGCACTTAATGTAAACATAGGTTCATAAATCTTTAAACCAGTCATACTTGCTATGGATGTGTTTCTAGTAAGACTTTTAGTTGGTTGGAAAGTTAGTAAGTTGATGAATGCCCGACTTACCCAGCCTTGCAAGAACATTAGGCATCAGTGATCTTGTCCACAGCTATAATGATGCTATAAAGTATTTTGCATAATGTTGGAAGCATCGCGGCTCAAACACCTTGATGTCATCCACAAATGATGACATGAACTTGTTAGTTCTTCTGTTCAATTGTTGTAGCTGATATTTGGTGAAAATCCGGCAGAAATGATGCAATAATTGACTCAGAAATACTCTATCAGTCCAAGTGGAAGACCCCATGTTTACATAGAAACAAAGCGCCGCGAGGCTTTGTTTGTGAGACTTGCAGCCACGTAGGAATTTCTAGGTCAGTTGTGGGCAGAGCTTGGTAAGGTCCATACTGTCAACACATAGTGACAGTTTTAACAAATATGTAAAAGATATGCATTTTATTATAAGTTGCCTACTGAAGCTTTAATGAGTGAAGTCTTAACTTGAAAAATGATTTTTGTATTTACTTTAGACATCTTTCTGATACTTTAAGTAGTTTGATCTGAAACATGTTTTTGTGACAAAATGTCAAAAGCAGAAGAAATCTGAGAAATGGGAAAATCCTTTTTCCAGAATGTAACACTAATAGCAGAGCAGGAACTGAATGTCTTTCCCTTCCAAATTCCAACATCCAGTGAATATTTTTGGGGGTTCAGTCAGGTGGAGATGGAATTAGATGGATTAACATTTACCTGGTTTTGTTTTATGACAGCCTCTCCAGCCTCCAGCAGAAGATCAACACCATCTCTCAGTCGGAACAGCAGCCCCTCCGGTAGTCCAAAGCCTGCTGGTCGCAGGTCAGCCCGGCTGCGGCTGCCGCAGCTTGGCAGCAAGCACCGGCTCTCCAGCAGCAAGGAGAACTTAGACGGAGCTGCGTCCTCTGAAGCCGAATCCCAGGACGGTGCGCCGCAGGCGGACACAGAGGAGAGGGTGGCGATAGCGGCAGGACCAGGGCCTATGGGCTCCAGCGATCAGGCGGCATCAGAGTCATCCTGCGGCACAGAGGCGTCCAGCAGCCACTGTGACGTAATCTTGATGAATGGAGATAGCAACGGAATGGGGTCAGACTGCAGCATAGAGAGCAACGTGGATCCTGATAGTTCTTTGCTTCATCACAGGGACATGTGTCTGGATCCCCTCTACAACCTCTATGCAATATCAGTCAGTACCATCCTCATATTCACTCTAATAATGAGTTTACGCTGTTGGTAATTAAACTTCTGAATATGTCTATTTTTATCCTCTCAGTGTCATTCAGGAATCATGGGAGGGGGCCACTATGTGACATATGCCAAAAACCCCAATGACAAGTGGTACTGTTACAATGACAGTAGCTGCAAGGTAATCAAACACACACAAACACAAACTTCAGGGTTTTAGAAGTGATCCTGCATGACCTTTTGGTCTGAGTGAATCACCAGAGAATTAACTGAAATCATGTGTGTTTTCCTGCTAACCCTGTGTGGGTGTCTCTTCTGACAGACACTTTTAAAATAAACAGAACACTATGAAGTTTATTTTTCTGCCAGTTAAGAAAAACAAGACGCATTTTCTCGTTAGCATTTTTACACCCGGAGTGTTAAATTAATTTTCATTTTTGGCCACATCAAGATCATGACCAGTTGTGGCTGAATTTATTGATTAAACCCATTAAAACACAAATGATGGTCTGTCTCTTTGATTTGATCTGCAAAATGTAACATGTTTTTATGTGGTTTTCTAGAGTCTAGAGGGCCACGAAAGAAACTGTGGCTGGCCACATTTGGCCCCCGGGCCTTCAGTTTAATGCATGTTTTACACTTTACTCTACAGCATCTTAAAGTTTTCTATGTTGCAACCAAAGACATCCCTGAATTATAAATGTTAATGACCCACCACTAGAACTATAGAACATGGCAGTGGCAGCATTGTGCTGCGGGTTGTTTTTTTGTTGGTTATTTCCAGGACGGTCAGGGAACCTGGTCAGATGGGAGAGAATCCCAGAGGTTCACATCCTAACAGAACAACAACCCTCTGCAATATGGACTTATTTTATCTATCATAAAGTCACAATAAATTATATTAAAGTTTATAGTCATGGACTAAATGTGAGCTATTTAAAGGTGTTGTATGCTTTTATGAGGTGCTGTAAATATATCCTCATGTTTTATCTTAAGAAGCCTTTTCTAGGTTTTCCTCCCTCTTTCTGGCGTTTCACATGGTGGATCTGTCGTTTCAACAGGAAGTTCACTCTGAGGAGATTGACACCGACTCGGCCTACATCCTGTTCTACGAGCAGCAGGGAGTCGACTACTCCCAGTTCCTGCCAAAGATCGACGGCAAAAAGATGGCAGACACCAGTAGCATGGACGAAGACTTTGAGTCTGACTACAAGAAGTACTGTGTCCTTCAGTGAGCGCGCCGCCTTCCAGTCACTACACTACACCTGCGCTCCGCTCTGGTTCTGGGCAGGAAGCGCCAGCTGTTTGGATCCTCCCAGACTGCTAACGGCTCGGAGCCACGCCTCTGTCCGCCTGCATGGAGGCATCGCAGCACTTCTAACCAACCCAAATCTAGATTAGTCACACCTTCTCCTCCCCTTCTTCCCCAAAGCACTAATGTGGTACAAGTGAAAGCCCAATGAAAACAAAAAAAATAAAAAATATAACAATCCTCCTTTATGTGTATTTTGCCATAGCAAACCTGTAACATTCAGCTGAACCTCACAGATCTCTGAATGTATGCCGATGTGGCCGAGTCATGAAGTGATGTTACTTTCTCACTGTACATTGGTCACCTGTGATGACGGGAGGAGAGAAAGCATTTCCGCCTGAGGTTGTCATCAGAGGAAGAACAGCGTCTCTGTTTTCTGGGTCTGGAATGCCATTGGAGAATAGTTAAAGTTCAGTACATACATGCTGGTATCATATGTGATGCCCAGGCCATTATGGATTTGAAACTTCTTATCTAGACTATTTGATACTGTGAGATGCTTTTATAGCTGTTTTATTAGGGTAATGTGTCACTAGGATTAATATCATATGCTACCTCATCACTTCCCATCATGCAGTCTGTGCAGCAGCTGTAGCCTAAATGTATGAAACAGTGTTAATGAGAAATATGTTGTTCCTTCCGCTGTAGGAGACGAGGTACTTGCATTTCAGAGTTTCCACACACACAAAAATAGAGGAAATGCAGCGCTCTGAACCTGAACCCCACGGCTGCCAAATGACTGGTGTAGATGTGTGTAAAGCCACAACTCCAGGAGCTCACCTGGAAACCTCCATTTATTCTGGAGAGGTGCCATGATAAAAAAAAACAGAAGCATAAATATGTCCAGTATATGTTCATGACTTTGTCCCTGGATTCTGGGGAGGTGGCGTTTTATAAGACATGTTTTATTTTTGTATATAGAAAGGCTTTCTGTTGAGGCGGATCTTTTTAGATCAGACCTGGATATCTAGCTGAAGCCACGCCCACAGGAAGCAAACTTCTCTTTGCACCTTACCCCTGCTGCAGTTCCCTTCTGTCACTTTACACATCTTTCTGATGATTAAATCTTTGCAACCTTGGAAACAAACCTGGAATATTTAGGGAGAACAAATGTTAACTGTACTATCATCAAGAATTTTATTAGTGGTTTTATTATTCTGATATTTAATCAATAACCTAAAAAAACTTGATTGATGCAGCTGAGCCTTCGAATTGTAATTATTCAAGTGATGTCAATTTAAAGGGATAGTACCCACTTTTTGAAGTGAGATTTTGTTCAGAGACTCTTAAAACTACTGCAGTCTCAAAGAATTTCCTGAACTTAATGTACACATTGGTTCATAAATCTTTAAACCAGTCATACTTGCTATGGACGTATTTCTAGTGAGAATTTTAGTTGGTTGGAAAGTTAGTTGGTTAATCACAGGAGCAGGTGGAACATGTGCAGCAAAGCAGAAAGAGGTAAATGTACCAGTATATGTTTCACATTTGAAGGCCATTATGGCCCAATTTACCTGCAAACAGGGACAGATTTCTGTGTAAATAAGAATTTAATGCAAACATGACTGCACTGAAAGATTTGTAAAATAGTGTTAACATAACTCATGATGCTTATTTTGAGATTTCCGTTCAAAAAATAAAAGTCTGTTTTAGCCTCGCTTTGGCTCTACTGAAAGTAGGATATTGACTGCTCATGACCTCACACCTGAACCCCACTTCAGGAGATTTCTAGTTATAATTAATATCTGAACCATCTTCAGCCTGCCACTGGTTCAAAGTAAATGTGAGCGGAAGTGATTTCCACCTGATTCGGCTCCAAAGTCAAACAGGTTTTTCATAAGATCAGCTGGTTACTTATGATCTTGTGCTGATCTGGTGTCAGATTTGTAAGCCCCTTTACAGATTTTTTCAGACAACCTGCTGATGTGGGCTGATGGTAAAGTCTGACATCAGATGACTCATGATTACTGTACAAATTAAATATGTGCAGTAGCACCAAAGGTTTTGAGTTCATAACATGACATCTCAGCACACATTCAGCTAAAACAAGTTCCAACGGCCTCAAAATGAGATTTGTTTGCACCATTAACTCCCAGCATGAATTGAAAAGATAAAGCTACACTGCATTCCTTAAGTGAGCAGCTTGGTCAAAAGTTTCTGTCAATTCAGCTGAATGCAAGCGCAAAGGCAAACATGTTTCTTTCACTTAAAGCTGGATCTGTTTTAAGTTGATCATTAGTAGTAGGAAACCTCTGCAGCTGAAATGTCCTCCGGCTCCCCCATAACACACACGCGCACACACACCAAATGTTTGCTTCCTTTTTAGCTGCTGTCTCCAAGGAGAAGACATTGTTCTGGAGAATATGTGTTAGAATGAAGTCTTCTTTTCCTTTGCAAAGACTGTTGAATGAATGAAAGTATGCAGATGAGTGCTATTTATGTTTGCTCTGAACGCTGTTTTATTTCTCCACCTTTCTGCCTTTTAGCTGAGCTATTTATGACGTTCAGTTTTATGTGTTTGAAATGACTTAAAGGGAAAATTGCAGTAAGGATCAGATCAGTCAAGAACCCATTTTCTAGTGTTGCATTCAGTTATATGCCCAGTACATGTCAGTTTTTGATTTTGTTGTTTTCTGTCCATAAATGTGCCCTCAGGCCACCTGCAGCTCAAACTGTTGTTAAAAATAGGGGCTAATTTTAGCACAATTTTCAGAAATCTAAAAATCTGCCCAATGGAACCAATCTGTTAGCTGAGGCTGGACAAACAGACCCAGTTAAACCACAGGGCTGATGCCCCCTGCCCCACCCCTCACCCTGCACATAACTTCAGCATGTTGGCAGGCGGAGCGATCTACTACTGAGCTGTCTGTTTGTAGCCTCTTTTTATTTAACTTCTGTACTTGCAGCTTGAAAGCTGACTTGTTAATTTAAGAATAAAAAAGACGCATTTTTGTAAGGTGTTTGTTGAAAGAAAGTGACATTGCACTGACATTAAAACATGTACATAAAGTGTTTTGTAAATAAGCCAATGAAAATTGTGTATTTGAATATGATCTGTACAAACTATTGTACTTGTAGTTGTATATGGAGTGATACTGTTGATCTGTAACAAAATAACCAAGCAACAAATTAAACTGCAAATGAAATTACATTCATTAAAAATATTGTTTTTATTGTTCAAAGTTGTTGAAATAGTTTGGCAGTTTTACCATTTTTAAGGGAATGATGCTGAGCACATCTGTAGGAGAAAAACAAGGTACCATCAAAAACACCTTGGAGCTGCTGCTGAGCACAGTGGTGGAGGGGTAGTGATGTGGGCTACTAATCAAAGAAAAAGGAACATTTTGAAAATGCTTGCATATTTCTCTGCAGAATAGGCTGAGATGCTGGTGCTTTGTTTTTACAGTCTCAGCAGTTCACTTGTGACACCAGGACTGTCAATCAAGACAGCATTTAATAACAGGAAACAGAACCACAATCACAAAGGAATACTCTGGAAACATTTGCTGAGCTTTACATAGTAAAAACCATAGTAATATTTGTATTAACTTTGTTCAGTTTTTGCATTAGCCTTTTGGCCTCATTTGCATTACATCCATGACACGGTGAAAGCATTGTGGGCAGACAAGTCACGATTATGGCAAAATCCTTTTTGAAGAAAACATAAGGAATGAATGGTAAAATCCAAACTTCTATTGTCACATATAAGCTCATTACAAAAAAAAAAGCAGAACAAGAATAGTTATAATGTTTTTCCTTTGCAAACCTCCTGGGAGAGAGAAGTGGTAAAAACAACTTTCTCATATTTTACTTCCTTACCAATCATTTAATTAAATTTTGTAAAGTTAATTATCAATTTACCTTTTCCAAGGTGAGACTTGTTAAGGAAACCTTAGAAGCTTTAGACTCCCAGCTTTTGACATGAGGAGCCTGAAGCTCCTCATGTCAAAAAGAGCAGGAGCCATTTTAAGATGACAAATCATAAAGTCAAGTTTCTTTTAAACCATGTTTGATATGCACAGCATTTCTATAACAGGTAACATGATTGTGCTAAAAAATGGCCCTCTGTGCCTGGAAAATACATACCTGATACTAGTAAAACAGGAATCCAGAAAATTTAAAAACGCCATCAGAAAGAGGCCTCCCTAAAACTGATCACCTCGGAGTCTTCAAATAAAAGTTTAACAGAACTGAACAGTTCACTTTAGAGAATTTTTTCATTTAACTTTTTTAACATTCTGACAGTTTACCATTTTAATGAACTGTCGGAATGATTATCTTCCACATTGAAATGAAAACATCCAACATGTCGCATGTGAGCACAGGCTTAACTTCAGAGTTTTTCTTGCTGTTTGACCAAAACTGGTAGACCCAGGCCACATCCTGCCTGTGCTGGACTGGGTTTGATCTGTGCCTGTCACTGTGATGGTGTGTGTTCAGGCTGTCACAGCAAGCTTCTGTTGCAGCTCAGGGAGGAAAACCACACATGCAGGGTCTCTGCAGCCGCTTCCCCGAATTAAAAGGTGCTACTGACACATGCAAGCTGTAACCCTGCACACTATTTTAAATGTTTTCCGGTCCGCCTCTCATCTGACCCAGACTGACAGATAAAGTTATCTGTCAGAATATATAAATAGCCTGGGGTACATGTAGCAGCTTTTAAATGCTGGAAATTTATGGGCTAACTTTACTCATTTTGTTAGAACATTAGGCACATTTTGATCACGAGCTGAACATTTTTAGGACATCATTAGTAGCTATTGACAGCATTTGAATTTAAAACAAACTGCATAACCTTAAGTTGTAATATTATTTATCTGATGACTTTCTTCTCTGCTACAAGTCCATGCTGAAAGTCTTACAATAAATACTTTACAAAAAATGTCTAGTTCCAGTTTTGAAGGGAAAAAAAAGCATCTCTTGACCCTTCAGCCACATCTTGCAAAGAATATTTTTGCACTTGTTGCTGTTGTTCGAACTGAGGGTCTTCATCCCACTGCTTCAGTTTGGCCCACCTGTGCAAGCGCTGCGGTCTGCCTCCATGCTGAGCATCAGCGCTGTGTCTGAGGGAGTTTGCATCTCAAGCCACCTGCTGCTTCTGTTCACTTCCTCTGCCTGTGTTGTGGTTCACATGCGAGCTGAGCTCCGGCTGGTAACGTGACAGAGGATCACACTAAACTGACAAGATTGACGTGTTAATAAGTTGCTCAGAACAGTAAGGAATTACAGTGGGTTTGGATCCTTCGATTCTCTACGGTTCTTGTCTTCAGAGGTAAGGTGGCTGGATATTCAGCGAACATCTTTCCTGCGTCTCCTTGCTTTGTAGCCAAGTTTTAAACAAAACTGTTTTTCCTCAACATCTGTCTGAAGGTTTTCATCCCATTTCCGGACCAAAGTGATGTTCTTCTGTTCACACTCCTCCACTTTGGGCTCCTGGGGTAGATAACGCAGAGCATGGTGAATGTTGCCTTTGATATGTGTCTAGGTGAGCTGTCAGGCTTTCACAACTCAGATTAATATCCAGCAAAATTATCCAGACATTTGCAAAGTGAACCTCCGTCTTTCTGCAGCGTTCTACGTCATTCTTGGAGTTCTCTGCTTTATCCTGCTGCTGTTCACTGTGCTGGGTGCCGTTTTTCTAACAAAGTAAGAATTTTTTTGTACGATTTGCTCATGCTAAATTTCAAATGAACAAATATATTTCAAATTGAGTTTTTAGAAACCTCACTTTAAGTTCAGTCTTCAGGGTCAAACACATCCTGATTTGTGTCTGCAGCACAAATTTGCTCGGAAATTCATCACAGCACTTATGATTTCTATTTAAAACCTCCTTGCTAGTTTAGATGACAAACATCCTTTCATGTGCAATTCATGTGTATAAATGTGTATCTCTTCATAGTACTATAGAAAGCATGTGGTATGATTAGACTTATACTAATTCTCTATGCTCCCATGGCTTTTTAAGTCAGGCCAAAATCCCGATGTTGAAAGTTCTCACAAAAACTATTTTCAAGTAAATATTTAAGTTTCTTTGAATTTCTCCTGCTCCGCAGTAGACTAAACATTCAATAATTTAATAATAAAAATTATTGAATTGAATATATGTGTTGCATGTAGATGCAACACATAAAAAAGGTCAAACACTTTTGCCTTTTTTAAAGAAAGTCATACAGGTTCAAATCTTCTGGAGGTGAGATTATTTTCTATTCTCTTTTTCTAAAAAAGTTTATCTCCATGCTCACAATAGGAACTAAATATATCTTGTATTTAGCCAAGTTTAATAAATAGACGTACCAAAGGTTGCTTTCCTGTAAAAGCCACCAGATGTTTGGGATCCTTAGAATGAAAATAAAGTCACAGTAAAACATTTGATAAATAAGAGAAAAATAATTTTCAAAGAATGTCTTCCATTCTTTGAAGACTGAAATTTATCACACATAATTAAGCTTAAAAACCAAATGAACCAAATGTTGCCAAATGTGTGCAGTGAGGGGCCAAAAAGCATCACAAGGGTTGCAAATATCTCTGCAGTTCAAGGCTAAAAGTGATAGAAATCCATAAATAGAAATAAACAATTAACTGTACCTATTAATTTTCAATTTATTACTTCCAAAGATGGGGCAAGACTAACTTTAATTTTAATGATTTAACATGTTAAAATTTTACCTAAATATTAGAACCCACAAACCCGTCAACACTGAGCCGTTCAGAATGTGAACTGATGTCCTGAATATTTCTGGTTTCTCTTGCCAGAAATATTCTGCCAGTTAGATATTTACCTGTTATTGGTTCTCAACAGAATCCAGTTTAAAGGTAAATATGAAATGATGCTTTAAATACTCATTTGATGTTCTCTGACAAAAAGAGGCAGACAAGGAGTTTTTTGCTTTAAATAGCCCTTTTCAGTTTCGCACAATGTTGCTTTATGAAAATTTTTTTCTGCAGGTACCGCGCCTTGGTTCGAACCGTCCGAATGCAACAGGGCAGCAAGTTTATTCTGAGACATTTGCCTCAGATCGAGACCCCCGTTGTGACACCCACAGTCCAGTCAGTGGAGAATGACGAGCAGCTTCCTCCAGAAACTCCTTTACGGATAACCACAGTCCGGTTATCTTCCAAGAGGCTGTGGAAAGGCCTGCAGCAGGTACCAGCTGGGTCTAGAAGAAAATGAATATTTAAGTGTCAGTGTGGCCTGCACAGTTGGTGGTAGTTTTGCCTTGCAGCAAAAAGGTCCTGGGTTCAAATCCCAGTCCTTTCTGCATGGAGTTTGCATGTTCTTCTTCCTCTGTGGATGACTTCACCCTGAGTGTTTCATTGCAGGAACCTCGTTTCACTAAGTCAGACCTGACTCTGCTGCAGCTCATCAAATCAGGGAAGGAGGGAGTTTTCTACCAGGCCAGGATGAGCAGAGGGACGTGTAAAGGTCACAGCATGTTCACCTGCAAGATCAGCAAAGAAGGTCCATTTACTGTAATGATCACCAGAGTAACAAAGGGGATTTAATATTAATTTATTATTCTGTCAACATAATCACTGAAACCTGATTTATTTGTATTAACACAATAAACAGTACAGATTAGTTTTGCTCTGTTTTAGTATTTTTTATTTATTGTTTTTAATGTTTTCATTATTAAAGTGTTTGGTTGAAAGATTTAATCTGAAATATGTTGATGGTCATAATTTAGTTTCATCTTGTTTTGTTTTCGTCCCTCCAAGGTGTGCGTCCCAAACATGTGGACATGGAGATTTGCATCATGAGGAAACTGGTTCACCATAAAAACATCCTCCAGCTCCTGGACTGGAACACAAGTGAACGTAAGTTAAAACATGCTCATATACACTGTAGAAAAAGATACAAGACCATTTGTTCTCAGTCTAACAGTGAATCGGACTAACATTGTAATGTTCGACGTAATCTCCGATTCATTATTATTGCATAATTATTTGTACTTGTTGAATGAAAGAATGATGACAGTTTTTCCTTCAAATACAGAGTTTAAAATACTCAGAAGTAATCACAAACAAATACAGGTGCATCTAAATTAAAATATTATTTCAAATGTAATTTATTTCTGAAACAAATTTTTGTTCTCAAGACTTTCTTTTAATTATAATGATTTTCTGTTAACAACAATGGAAAACAAAGCATTTTGGTATATAAACTTAATAAAGAGTATGTTTT